TCTTTCTCTAAATTGTATTCACTTTAAGTTTTTGGTTACAGTTCACCATGAACTTCAGTTAGTAACTTGTGGTTTTACATGTATATACTCAAAATTTAGTACTTTAAAATGTTCATGTATTTTTGTCGAGCCTGCAACTTTTGTTGCAGAAAGCTCGACAAAGGGAAAGTGATCCGGTGGCGGCTACGGCGGTGGCGTTAGCAGTGGGCGTTAGCTAACTTCCTAAAAGCTTTATATTTTAGAAGGTGGAAGACCTGGATGCTTCATACTTTGTATATAGATGCCTCATGATACGAATTCTGTCTGAAACATGTCCATTGTCCTTGACCTCATTTTCGTGGTTCAGTGACTACTTGAAAAAAAAGTTCAGATTTTTTGTAATGTTAATTTCTCTCATATTATGAGTAATAGGATAACTATATTTGGTATGTGTTTACCTTGCAAGGTCCTCATGCTCGTCAGAGAGTTTTCACTTGACCTAGACCTCATTTCATGGATCAGTGAACAAGAACTTAGTCTTAGATGCATGATTTTTTATATTAGTTGCTAGTGGCTTTGTACTAGCTGTCAGTAACTGCGAGTACTCTCAGATCTGTACTTAGTGTCTTTTTGTTGTTTGGATGTACAAGTACCCGACCACGTCCACTTGTATTTGTAGTATTTGTATTTTTATCCATCTGATGAGTTAAGCCTCTTTCAACTGATTTTTTTTGCAGTCGTATATTGGTATGATGTTGGCGTCGGTGTCGTCATCGTCCGAAGACACATTGGTTTTCGCACTCTAACTTTAGTTTAAGTGAATGGATCTCTATGACATTTTACCATAAGGTTCAATATCACAAAAGAAAGGTTGGGATTGATTTTGGGGGTTATGGTACCAACAGTTAAGGAATTAGGGGCCAAAAATGGGCCAAAAATAAGCATTTTTGTAACTTCCAGACATAACTTGTGTGTTAGTGTATAGATCTCTGACATTGTACCACAAGGTTCCATTTCACAAAGGGAATGCTGGGATTGATTTTGGGGGGTAATTGCCTCAAAATATTAGGAATTAGGGGCCAAAAAAGGGGCAAAAAACAAGCATTTTTCTAGTTTCATGACAATAACTTGTGTGTAAGTGTATGGATCTTTCTGAATTTGTACTACAAGGTTCCATATCACAAAGAGAAAGCTGGAATTGAGTTTGGGGGTAATTGCCCTAAACGTTTAGGAATTTGGGGCCAAAAAGGGACCAAAAAACAAGCATTTTTCTAGTTTCCAGACAATAACTTGTGTTCAAGTGTATGAATCTCTCTGAAATTGTACTACAAGGTACCATACCACAAAGGGAAGGCTGTTATTGAGTTTTGGGGTGATGAATCATAAGGGGGTTCAAAAAATTTGGGGGGGGGGATTTTTTTTTCCTTTTTTTTTCTTTAAAATTTTCCATTTTAAATTGGTTATTTCTGATTTATATATAAAAGCAAATAATTATGATATGGTTTGAATAGGTAAATTAAAATTTTTTAAGTTCTTAGACCACATTCATTCTGTGTCAGAAACCTATGCTGTGTCAAATATTTAATCACAATCCAAATTCAGAGCTGTATCAAGCTTGAATGTTGTGTCCATACTTGCCCCAACTGTTCAGGGTTTGACCTCTGCGGTCGTATCAAGCTGCGCCCCAGCGGAGCATTTTATTATTGTTCGTTCTTATGTTGTACTGTTACACCACTGTCCCAGGTTAGGGGGAGGGTTTGGATCCTGCTAACATGTTTAACCCCGCCACATTCTGTATGTATGTGCCTGTCCCAAGTCAGGAGCCTGTAATTCAGTGGTTGTCGTTTGTTTATGTGTTACATATTTGTTTTTCGTTCATTTTTTGTACATAAATTAGGCCGTTAGTTTTTCGTTTGAATTGTTTTACATTGTCATTTCGGGGCCTTTTATAGCTGACTGTGCGGTATGGGCTTTGCTCATTGTTGAAGGCCGTACGGTGACCTGTAGTTGTTAATTTCTGTGTCATTTGGTCTCTTGTGTAGAGTTGTTGTCTCATTGGCAATCATACCACATCTTCTTTTTTATATTTAAGGTTAAGTTTTGGTGGTCAAGTCCATATCTCAGGTACTATAAGCAATAGGTCTAGTATATTCGGTGTATGGAAGGACTGTAAGGTGTACATGACCAACTGGCAGGTGTCATCTGACCTTGACCTCATTTTCATGGTTCAGTAGTTATAGTTAAGTTTTTGTGTTTTGGTCTGTTTTTCTTATACTGTATGCAATAGGTCTACTATATTTGGTGTATGGAATGATTGTAAGGTGTACATGTCTAGCTGGCAGGTGTCATCTGACCATGACCTCATTTTCATGGTTCAGTAGTCAAAGTTAAATTTTTGAGTTTTGGTCTTTTTTTCTAACACTAAATGCAATAGGTCAACTATATTTGGTGTATGGAAACATTTTATGATGTACATGTCAGTCCCGCAGGTTTAATTTGACCTTGACCTTATTTTCATGGTTCATTGCTCAGTGTTAAGTTTTTGTGTTTTGGTTTGTTTTTCTTAATCTATAAGCAATAGGTCAACTATATGTGTTGTATGGAAGGATTGTAAGCTGTACATGTCTGCCTGGCATGGTTCATCTGATCTTCACCTCATTTCCATGGTTCATTGGTCAATGTTTAGTTTTCTTGGTTAAGTCTGCTTCTTAGAAACTATAAGCAATACCGGTAGGTCAACTGTATTTAGTAATTTGAATGATTGTAAGGTGTACATATATTTCTTGTCAGGTTTATATGACCTTGAATTCATTTTCTTGGATCATGTTGAGTTTATGTGATAGTTGTAGTAAAGCTTTGTATTTAGGACTATCAACATGATATCAATGATTAGTAAAGAAGGCGCAACATTTCAGCGTGTGCACTCTTGTGTATACATTAAACACCACATTTACTGTTTTTACCCTGATTTTATGGATCACTGAACATAGAAATGTCATAATGTGAAATTATAGTACATTCTTAGGTTAAAGTTTTAGGTTAAGGTACATAGCTTACCATGAAGTTGAATTTCATGCACATGTTCATTATGTGGTGAATTTTTAAATTCAGTGCCAAACTAAGATTTTGAGCCTGATTACATGATTGACTAGACATTGACACATGCTAGTGTTTGCCAGGCATTGTGTCCTGTACTAGGAATTTGTCCTGTACTAAGAACTTTAATAGTACTCGCTGAGTATGGAGTTTTTGTGAAAGTTTAATATTAGTGAGATTTTTGCATGACATCCTGTCAACTGCTTGTTGATCATGTTTATACATGTCTTAAAATTAATATCTGACACATTGGTGTTTTGTGAACTTGGAAATAAGTTATTTGATAGAATAATAATGTTTTGAGATTATCAAAATAAAAAATATCCCATTTTTACTACATTGTGTATTAATGATTAAGTATATAAAAAAGAAGATTTAGGATATATGTATAACCATATATAAAAATGAGACAGCAACCGAACAACACAAAAATAAGAAAAAAAAACCAATATAATTTTTTGTATCAATGTTATAATTTCCAACATGTCCAAAGAGTTCAATGTATTTTCTAATTGAAATAAAACACAAGTGGAACTCTTTCAGAACTTCAGAAGCTTAAAGAAGTGCTGTTTCTATTGTTGGCTTTCTGTATAATATATTGCAAATTCTTGTGAAAAATGGAATTTTATTGTAATTGCCTAAAGTTTTAACATTGATCTATATATATATAACTGGGGAAAATACCCAAATGTTATAAAGAAGAATACATAAATTGATTGTTATAAAATACATGTATTAGAATAGGAAGATGTGGTATATTGCTAATTTGACAACTCTCCATCAGAGACCAAAGGATGTAGGAGGTTAGCAACTGATGACACTGGACAACCTTCAACAATCAGTAAAATCCATACCGCATAGCTATTTTTATTGAAAATCATATGTTCTTGCTACATATATGTATACAATTTTTTATTATCCATAACTTCTGATTTTATTGGTTCTTTTTCAGAAGGATTGGAATTCATCACTGAGAATAGAAGGAGAAAACACAGAAACAAGACCAAAATAAATTCAAAGACAAAAGTCAGATCAGTTATTATTTTCATCACTCAGCCAATGAATTGCAGTTCTATTAAATATCTATAGATATTAAAACCACAATAATGACAATGCTCTGTGCTGAATGGCAAAAAAGTGGACTATACACTATGATCACACAATGCTGGATGATAAGAAACTATTAATTTTTTGGTTGGAGGGATATCCTGAAAAAAAAATAGATTTATGTAAAAAGCTACTAGTATGTTAAGCCTTATTAATAGAGTTTTCATTGATTTCAAATGGGAAAAAATTGTGTTTCAAAAAAGTGTTCTAGAATTCATAAATAAACATATATTGATACTTACATTATCTGCTTTGTTGTTTAAAAGTTTAGTTTTGAACAGTTATAGAACAATATAATTGCATTAACATTTCCAAGGAAAAAAAAGATATTCAACTAAAAAGATTCATCTTAAAACAATTTACTACCAATCAGAATTCATTGTAACATACACATTTATTTACTGTATATTTATAATTTGAATCATAGGATTTTATTTTGTCCCATGGGATATTAAAAATCCCATGGGATAATTATAGTCCCATGGGATTTTTTTTGTCCCATGGGACAACAAATATCCCATGGGACTACAATTATCCCATGGGACCCAAAAAAATCCCATGGGATTTAACCAAAATCCCATGGGATAATGGTCAATCCCATGGGATTTGCCTTATCCCATGGGATATTGAAAATCCCATGTTTTTCTAAATCAAATTACAAAATATATATAATAATAACAGCAGAAAAGCAATGAAATTATTGAATCCCATGTAATTCCGCACATTTTGGTTATTTACACGACACTGTAGGTCTAAGGAGAGGCGGCGGCGGATTTGCAAATGAGTGTTTTGCAAATTAAAAGTGTCCAGTGTTTTATATATTCGTAAATTTATCATTACTGGCGGAATTGTATGAGGGTGTGGATGGGGGTTTACAGAATAGAGAATAATGGGCAAAAATATAAAGAAGAGAGAATAATGGGCAAAAATTATGAATCATAGAGAAAAATGGCCTAAAAAATTAAAGAATACAGAAATGCGGAACCCCATCCAGACTCTTGTATATGAATCGAAGATATAAATTTCTAAATGTGCAAACTTTGATTCATCCGCAAGGACTGCATGTTTTGTGTACGCTAATATTTTTGAAAAACTAAAGATATAAATAAACAAATAGATAACTAAATAGTCTATTTACTAATTACCAATTTGATTTTGTAATTACACACTTTTAACGCAAGTTGTGTCCCTTTGCTTTTTCGACTGGTTCCATACTGGACAAAATGGGCACTGCCCATGCAAATCATAATTGAAAGTGATAATTAGACGTTCAACCAAATTTTGATAAAAAACTATTGATATCAAAAGTTTTCATCTTAACAAAAGATTAAGTGGAATGAAAAGTTTTGAAAAACTTAAAGATTACACACATTACGCACAGATAAATTTGGTCTGCCCGCTAGCTGTTAATAAAATGTATGTCCTTTCTAGGGAAAGCATCTTGATTTACAGGGTCAATTATGGAATTGATAAAAAGACTATTGATTAAGTCATGTCTTAAGTTAGTTTCTGCTAATCTTTAATTTATTTTACATTCTACACAAAGTATGCAATCCTTAATGGCACTAATCATGCGCAAACCCCTTTGTTTGATAGGTTCAATTCGACAAAGGGGTTTCTACCAAATCAACTACAAATGGGAACTTTAGATTAAATTCAGATCATTTTTGAGCTTCATTTTACAGAACATTTTCAGAGATTGGGTTGATTCTTTTGTCAAACTTAGCATAAAGTTCACATTTTATATAACACCCATAATATCTTGTACTGACATTTCTTTTTCAGGTTAAAACGAATTCTAAATTTATATCTACAATGATATTGATAGGTTAAAAGCCATATCAAAATAAAATCGTTCCAAGCCATTTTTATTCTTTGACATCCTTTGAACTAAAAATATGCTATTACAATAATCTACTGGTTCAACATTGAACTAGACCAGGTTAAGACTAAATGTCAGAAACGAAACGCGCATTTGAGACCATTTGGACCTTCTGGACACATCAATTAATCAATTTTATGTTCGGTTCTGTTTTATCTTTCGGAACAATCGAAGCGATTGACAAATTATCACCAAAAAATTATTAGTTAAGAAGAAAACTTTCTGATAAGCACTAAAAAAATCTATGATGACAATGTGACGTGAAAATAATCCTTTAAACTGAATTGACACAAATTTGTCCGAGCACGATACTATCGGACTTGGTTTGGCCTTATCACGTGGTTAAACAATTAATGGCAAAAGAATCTTTATTTCCATATGATCATGTATTTTTTCAGATACTACAACAGAGGAACCGACAACTACCGAAATCGAAACGACAACTACAGTAAAACAATTAACAACTACAGTAAAACAATCACCAACTACAGTACAACCATCACCATGTCTTGATAATGTTGAGGGAGTCAATAGAACAGACGCTACACTTGATGAAAAATGTGGTGCATACAGTGGAACCGCCAAATGTATAGTACCAAACAGTGCCTGTACTAAAATTGATAGTAATTGGATATGTAGATGTGCACAGGGATATGCAAAAAAGAGTGGATTGTGTACACAATGTGAGTTTGTTTGTCGTTTTGTATTTAATTCATTCACATGTCTTGTATATACATGAACAATAATTCAGCTGTTTGATAAAAAAGTGAAATAATTACACAGTCATCAAATGTTGCAAGGATAAGTATCCACGTCAAAGAACATAGGTTTTACTTCAAATGCTGTATCTCCATTCATAGAAAGTATACATACATATACCCTGCCACGTCCACTTCGTGTTTTTGTTAGATGTATTTCTATTTGTATCCATTTGATGAGTTTAGCCTTTTTCAACTGGTTTTTATAGTTTGTTCTTATGTTGTACTGTAACACCGCTGTCCCAGGTTAGAGGAAGGGTTGGCGCCTTCAAACTAGTGTAACCCCGCCACATTCTGTATGTGCCTGTCCCAAGTCAGGAGCCTGTAACTCAGTGGTTGTCGTTTGTTACTATGTATTATATTTGATTTTTGTTCATTATTTTGTACATAAATTAGGCCTTTAGTTTTCTTTTTTGAATTGTTTTACATTTGTCATTTCGGGACCTTTTATAGCTGACTATGCGGTATTGGTTTTGCTCATTGTTGAAGGTCGTATGGTGACCTATAGTTGTTAATTTCTGTGTCATTTGGTCTTTTGTGGAGAGTTGTCTCATTTACAATCAGTCGACAGTCGTCCATAAAGAACCTACCCTATCCAAGTAAAAAATATGTAATAGCACATCTGGGAATAGCAACAAAGGGATTTTTAATGAATCAATGTCTTCCTATTGTTTGTATAGAAAATTAAAAAAAAAGATAGTCAACCAATTATTATGTTGGCTGATAACGGTGAGTCCGGGGCTTGGAACCCCTTTTCCTTGCCTGGAAAAGATGTGTTACAATAAATGAACGTAAAATATACGAAATTAGGCTGATTATCTTCCTTTTAAAGGTCGATTCCTAAAAAAATAATCTTGAAAAATTTGGCTCCATACCTAAATTGACAAGTCAGATAGATCGGGGAATATGGAACAAGAGCAGAATAACAGTTTTGTTCAATCGAGTAAATATGAATCATACCAATCTGGTATAGCTGAACCCGATTAAGCTCAAAAATAGTTGCCACATCTTTTTATACTGACATCATTCCACTTTTTCGTGATTTCGGAGACTTTATATATTGAGGAATCTAATTCATTTGTAGTAGCGTAATTTCCTCGACTGAAAGAGGTTGTTCTTTTGCTCCCCTGTATGATAAAGATAAAGACTTGAAAATTGGTATTGGCAAGCACTAGGATTTTAAGAGTAAGAGAAAAAGATGGTCGGCTCGGAGCCAGAATAATGAATCCGGGAAGGATAACATCTCTTCCTCCGGACTGTTAACTTATGCAGCAGCACATACAAAACTTTAGCTTAACGTGTGGTCTTGTACAACACCGGGTTTGTATTTGTACCTTATTAATATGTTCTTGTCCTGATGCAAAATTTGACACTAGAAGTAAAATACTAACGAACCATCACCATCATTATCCCATTACCAACAAAGCATCCTAGTCATATCAAGCAACAATCCATTTCAGGTGTAATCTAGAATACATTTGGTTTAGAATATCGATATAATTCATTAATGTTTGCAGGTTTGCCAAACCATATTCAAAGAGAGACAAAAGATACTAAAGGATTGTTCAAACTCATATGTCGAAAACAAACTGACAATGGCAAAAACAACCACAAAACGATCAAAAGACAAATAATTATAGTATACAAAACAAAATATAGAAATCTAAAGACCTAGCAACATGAAACCCACGAAAACCTGGGAGTGATCTCAGGTGCTCCGAAAGGGTGAAGCAGATCCTGCTCTACATGTGGCTACTATCGTGTTGCTCAATATTTTATTTGATCACAAATAAAAACATTGAATTTTAATTTTGCTCAAAGAAGTGTAAAAGAGATAAAAGTTCGAACATTCTTAAGTTTTTTATTAGTCTTGTTATTTTGTTATATATTTTCTGATGAATCAAGTCCTTTAATTATATTTACAATTTGTGCAAATGTTGTTCTGTTTCACCACTGTCCGAAAAAAGATGAAGAGCCAAACATTTAAATAAAATCTTGTCTATTGTTAAAGACCGAACTTGCTCTCTAGATGACTTATTGTGTTATTGTAATGATGTGTCATTTACCGACATCATTCTTAAGTTTTGTCTTGTTTAAAACTGTATTACAGCGGGAAAATAAATGATTACATACGTTTAATACTTAGTTAGTTTAATGTTTTCTTCTTTTTCTTTTTACTTTTATTTTGAAACAACATGCATGAAAAGTTTATGTCTTGTCCTTAAAACAAACATGAAAATCATCTTTATTTTACAGTACCCAGTGAATTATTTCTATCAAAACAATCATCGCTTAGTCTTACTGACAGTAGCAAACCGGGTCATGAAGGTAGGTTGTGAAGTATTGTAGGAATTTACTATTTATGTTTTTTTCTTTTCTTCTAAATTCATTTGTTTTTTTATGCAATATTCAAATTATAATATTAAATTAACAGATCTACAGATTTTAAAAACATTAATACATATTAGGTAAGGAGAACGTGCGGAAACTTGAATGTTGTTGAAAAACTCTGGCTGTCATTATAATTATGTAAATTTGATTGCTTGTCTTCATTTTGTTTTACTTATAGCACAACTAGCAAACAAATTATCGAAAGCCAAGGGCATATTGTGAATGTAGACACTCATATGAACAGACACCAGAATACATTTACTATGAATTTTAGTGGCAAAAACTATTGTATAATGTAACAGTATACGAACCAACCACCTTCGATTTACATTTTGTACAGTATATTATTTCCCAAACCCTGTATTATACATGATATATCAAACATTTCATGTAACAGGTCGGCATACTTAATGCAAGTTGCAATGTGCATTATAAACAGCGCACCATATGCAATAAAGTTGATACCATTTAATGTTTGTACTACCCCTGGGTCGGGAACAATGATGATGGACTGTAAGTCCCTAGGGTATCACCAGCCTAGTAACTCGGTACCATTGTCGAAATGTGTATCCAGTGCAGTAAAATTATTGTTTTTCTGGTATCAAAATTGAAATTGTTTGCATATACAGTTTTTCTAGTGGTGTGCACTGAATTTGTGCTGAAACATTACATTTTTCCCTAAATTGTTGCAAACATAGATCTCTTGTTGAAACATATAATGTTGGCTAGTTTATTTTCATTCATGAGTGTCTGGATAGGGGGCCTCATTTCTGTATTCGTTAATTCATTAGGTAATTTTTCTCCATTCTTCATATGTTTTGCTTGCCCTTAATTAGCTATTCATTATACTTTAACACCCATTATTCTCTATTCCTTTTTTTATTTTTTGCCCTTTTTTCTCTTCTTTAATTTTTGGGTCCATTGTATGTAGATTTGGCAAATTATTATCTATTCTGTAAACCCCATCCAGACCCTATACTAGTTATCTGTTTAACTTGATGACCATTGGTAGTGCTTCATTGAAAAGTGCTAGTTCCTAGAAAAATCTTGTTCCATTGACTTCATCTATGAATAATGGTCTGTTCATGATTTTGTTAATTGTTATACACAAAGCAAAACTGTATTGGGAAATCCCTGTTACCATGGGAATTGGCTTAGATACCACGTATAATCAGTTGTCCAGACTATTTTCATTGTTCAATCATGTAAATGACGTTTGACTATAAGGGCAACAAAAATTACCAATATATATACCCATATATATATACCCATATCCAAGACTCGTTAATTCGACAGGGTAATCGTTTCCTGCTATGTATCCTTACCCGCCATGCGATTCCAATTAAAGTAAAAAAGACACAAAGGAGATTGAGACACAATATATATTTTGATAGATCAAACTTGTATTCTGATTTCTTGTTTTAAAATCAGATATAAGACCGCGAACACATTTTTTTTTTCGTGAGTTGAGAAAGAGAAACATCGAATCGAACAACCAATTCGTTATGATTTCCATAAAACTTGTGTACGCAGTGTGTCAAATGTATTGGTTCTTCCTCACAATCTGAGACTTTGTTGCGTTAGGAAATTTACTCTGTAGACGAAGTCCTTATTACGTGAAAAAATACGCGTGTAAAGTATCATAAGAGATAGATAAACGCCATACTGTGAGGCAGAGGTTATGTTACTAGTACTACTAAAAATGCGATTATTCTGTAAATGTCAATTGTGCGTTTTGATATAATTGTGCACTCAAAGCATCTTCTTCATTATAAAGCCTGTTAATGTATAAAAAAAGACAACGCTGGTTTAAAATAAACAAACATGGAATTGAAAATATATAAAACTGTTTGAACATCAATGAGATTAAGACCGGGTGATTGGATGAGGTAAACATCTCAAGCGATGCATTAACAAAGACGTAAATAAAGGATATATATGCTTTTAGCTATTGGATATATTATGTAAAATTTTCTTCCGAATGTCGGTGGTTCTTTCCGACCACTCCGGCTCCTTCCACCAATCAAAACTGATCGCAACGAAATAGCACAACAGTGCTAAAAATGGCATTTAACACCAATCAATCAATCAGTCAATCAAATCGGGTATTCAAGATTCAAAATATGTTTAATATTTTGTGTAATAGAACCGCGATGCTTCGAGAAATAGATTAAAATAGAAAAATAGTTTACGAATAAAATATAAGCCAGTCTGTTGGACAAGTCGATTAGAATGATTGATTGATTGATTGAATTATTGCTTGTTGGTATTTAACACCACTTTCAGCACTCTTAGCTATCTAATGGCCATCAAGTTTGATTGGCGGAGAAAACAGGAGTATCTGTAGAGATCAACCATTCTTTGGCCGAAAAACTGGAAATCCTGCAATGGGTGGGGTTTAAACTCGCAATCTCAGTAGTTTTGGCAGTCAAGTTATTACTGTAGATGATATACTTAGATGACTCGACCACCGAGGCCCCTAGTCGATTCGAAAAAAAACACTAGTTAAAATAATGAAACGATTAACCATCGGTCCTTTCTTTATCATTTCAATTTTGTCTTTTTTAGTTACTAAAATAGATTTCACAGAAGTACAAGGTCTTTATAAAACAAAGCCTGAAGCTGAAATAATGGGAACAGATTCTGATGTTTTTACAGTCAAAACTGTAAACACGGAGATGGTTACCATTGCATTGAACAACAAATTGACGAAACCGAAGTATGACATTTTTGTGGTAGTGTCTGTTACAGCTGATGGTATCGTGATACGCGATTTCAGACATATAGCAATAACAGTTAATAAAGACAGTGTTATTAGGAAAGAAATATTTATAATGGATGGAACACTGAAAGACAGTGTGGTTGGCCGGGTTTGCCAGTCGTGCTTATTATTTGAAAACATGACACAAATAGATCGTGATAATATTGTATCGGTAGAGAACGATGGCATTATCATAACATCAAAAACTATCGATCTAAATAATATCCAAGGTTCCACAACAATAGCATATTCAACATATGTCGAAATTCAACAACAATTTACTTCTGTTACCGTAGCTAATATAACAATTCATATCATACGTGCTAAGTTTGAATGTGTGTTACCCGAAGACAGTGTTGCAAATACAGTTGTCGGTAACCTGAACTTAAATAATCCATTTTCAATTGATTCTGAATTTCAAATGAGTGGAATGTCATTGACTCTTGGGTCTGTCGTTTTAGATTATATCGAGCAAATTGAAGTTATGAAATCACTCGAGATAACAATTAGTGGCCATACATTTGACACTACAATAATGATAAATGTACAAGATGTTAATGACAAAAGTCCAATATTTTTAGCCAAACCGTATAATTTTTTTACATTAGAGTCGGCATACCCCGGGTTGATAGTCGGCGTTGTTTCAGCAACTGACCCCGATACGAATTCCGTTTTGACATTTAGTATCATTCCAAACGATAAATTATTGATCAATGAATACGGTATCATATCGATACAAAGTGGATTTGGCGTCAACGCAACTAGTTATAATGCCACTGTTACAGTAACTGATGGGTTGCATCCTGTAACTGAATATGTGACTGTTGACATTGAACAGGCGACAACCAATAATCTCCAAAATAGATTTGTAGGACAGATTTCTGAAAATGTAAACAGTCAAGTAATAACGAAAGTTAATATAACAGGTTACACAAACTATGAGTTCACAGATAGATCAGCTCATCTTGATTTTAGTATTGATTCTAAAACGGTAAGATCATAAACTAATCACAAGACATTCTATATCATACATGAACGTTGAAATGTAATTCAGATATAACGTTTTTTCTCTTATCTTTAGTTTTATTTTGTCAGTTTCCCTACTAAAGTGACAATCGAAATCAGTAAGTTATCGACTTTTTTCAAATTTATAGTTGTATTTCTGTTTGACTCGGCTTCAAGAAAAATAATCGAAAATTTTGAACTCGTGCTACAAAATTATAGCATCGAATAGAATCCAAGAGATATTGTCAAAACTAAGGAAGATTACATTTTAACCTTCCTAATTACAGAAGGAGTTGTAGATTTATTTGATCTTTAAATTTTAATTACTTGTTCTTGCTATTTCACAAATGTTTATTGCATCTTTTGTTTATGAAAATGATAAAAATACTCAATGCACATGAAAAAAAAAAATAAATTTAAACATAACATACTACCAAACCAGGGAAAATACGATAAAATTTGAAATCCCCTTTTTTTAGTAGCATGTTTCCAACTTTAAAAGTCATAAATCGATAGAGAGAAAAACAAATCCGGGTTACAAACTAAAACCGAGGGAAACACATCAACTATAAAAGGAAAACAACGGAACAACAGAAAAACACAAAATACTATATTCACCAAAGAATCATTATTAGTTCATTTAAGAATCATAACCAGTTCATTTAAGAATCACTATAAGTTAATTAAAAAATGAGTATTAGTTCATTTAAGAATCAATATTAGTTCATTTAAGAATTAATACTAGTTCATTTAGGAATCATTATAAGTTCATTTAAGAATCAATATTAGTTCATTTAAAAATCAGTATTTGTTCATTTAAGAATCAATAATAGTTCATTTAAGAATCGGTATTAGTTCATTTTAGAATCAATATAAGTTCAGTTAGGAATCAGTATTAGTTCATTTAAGAATAATGTTTAGTTCATTTAAGAATCAATAATAGTTCATTTAAGAAACAATACTAGTTCATTTAAGAGTCAATACTAGTTCATTTAAGAATAATTTTTAGTTCATTTAAGAAACCTTCTTTGTTCATTTAAGAATCACTAGGAGCAAAACATGATGTTTAAAAGATGTTTAAAAGAAACATGTTTGTTATAATAAGGTTATAATGATATAATAAACAGAGGAGGGAGAGACAAAGATATAATTGTAAAGATATCTAAAACAATAATATTTTAATCTATTAGCAAACAATTAAATGCAACATTTTAACAGATATTAGCACCCAGTTATTTACTCTTTAAGGGAGAAGTTAAAAACGCAAGAGCCTTTGACAGGGAAAAGGAAACCGAAAGGGAGTTCAAATATACAATTGTAGCAAACGAAGAAGGTGAACTGAAATGTTCATTAGTGGTAAGTATAGATAATAGGATTAAGATTGTGCGCCAGACTGCGTTTCGTCTACAAAAGATTTAATCCGTGACGTTTGAATAAAAAAAGGCCATCCAGAAGCTAAGTTTAACTGTAAACAAAAATGATAGAAAAAGCCAACGAGAAAAGGAAATTAAAGTAATAATAAAAGTCTTCCTGAAAATTAAGGTTGACGTTAGTTATTTGATTTTTTTCAACTGAATTTGTTTTAAAACGCAATACCGCTAATCATTTGAAATGAAATTTATTTTAAGATATATGAAATACAAAAGAATATACAGAACAAACTTTATTTTGAATATCCTTTAACCTAGTCGTGCTTGTTGAAATCTTCAAGAAATCTACATAACTTCATTTCCCAATTTTGATCTTATAAAACTTTTATTGCCATTTTTTACAAATTAATAAGGGACCATGAAAATATAATGCTTGCTTGTTGTAATGCACAAGATATTAGTTCCTCTTATTGTTTTTTTGTCTTTTAATTTTTGCAACAGAACCATCAACTGAACCAGGTTGAAATTGTTTTACATCAACCTGAGATAATTTAAGTTGTTCTGAGAAGGCCCAATGGTACTTCATTTGTGCTCCAAATTTTTATAGTCTTTTCGACATTCCAACCATTCGACAATATACACTATGCTACTGCTTTGGATAAATCAAAAACCTAATTTCTTGAGATGTTCCCTAAATAAATATCTTCTGTAAAAAGATCCCAATCAGAAGTCGTTAGGGAAATGTCTATGTGTTAAATGCAATTACAATAAACGAAAACATTTTATTCAAATATTTTGCAATCAAAATAGGAACAATACTTTTTATAGAAATTAGATGATGTGGTATGAGTGCCAATGAGAAAAAATCTCCATCATCCAAGTCACAATGCGTAAAAAGTGAAAAATTATAAGTCAAAGTACGGCCTTCAACACGGAGTCCTGGCTCACACCGAACAACAAGCTATAAATGGCCCCACAATGACTATAGTATAAAACAATTCAAACAGGGAAACCAACGGTCTAATCAATATAAAAAAAAACGAGAAACGAGAAACACTTATGAACCACGTCAACAAGCGATAACTACTGAACAACAGGTTCTTGAAGTACGTATTCAGTAGTTTTACAGTATTGGATACATTTAATAAGAGCTTTTTTATGTTTTATTGACGACAATTATTCGTTACTTTTTTCATTCGATATACACATATTTATGGCATGTAATTTACAGGTGATAGGAGAGATAACTATTACCGTGACAGATCAAAATGACGAGCCACCTGAATTTAACAGCCATTCGTATACTGCCACGGTTATGGAGAACGCCCTTGAAAAATTGATGGTAAGGCAACACATAATTGAGTAAGAAGCCCTCGAGTTATTTATTAATCAATTTTTCGTTTTATTCGACTGTCATACAAGTGAGAGGTTTAGGCAGCTATAAAACCAGATTAAATCCACCATTTTAGTACATAAGGAAATGCCTGTACCAGGTCAGGAATATGACAGTTGTTTTCCATTCGTTTGATCAGTTTGAGCTTTGGATTTTGCCATTTGTTTAAGGACTTTCCGTTTAGAATTTCTTTGGAGTTTGATATTTTTTTTTATTTATTACATTTTTCATAAGAATTCAACAAAAGTTTGTGCAAAATATAATATTGATTATAAACATTTCAATAATTTCCAGACCTATGTGCGTTGTTGATATAAAATACGAACTGCTTAACAGAAAACATCCGATATGCATAAATTTATGTTCCTACATAATGACGAATGAAAAATGAAAAAAAAGTTTGCGAAAGGTAAGTTAATGGTTATAGTAATAAATATTTGATTATTTGCCAAAAAGAACTAATCATAAAAACAGGGATAATTACACTGTGCCTATCTGATAAATAAATAAATGATTACAAACATCCGTACGCCCATAAGAATGGACTGAAAAGAATTGAATAAATTACTGAATTGAATTTTCGAAATTATGTAAAATAGGAGTGTTTTAAGAAAAAAAAAACAATCCAGAGGAGGTTGGTGACAAGATTAATTCAAACCCTGATCGGAAACGGAAACAAGCTTGAGCCTGCCGCCGGGTGCGGGATTTTTGTCGCTGTGTTGAAGACCCATTGGTGGCCTTCGGCTGTTTTTTGCTCTTTGGTCGGGTTGTTGTCTCTTTGACACAATCTTAATTTCCAGTCTCAATTTTATCAAGCATGATAACATGATCTGTTAATTATTTTTAAAGATTTGTAAGCTTTAGACATCTTTCGGTAGCAGATTTCCGAACGGGCATTGAACATAAAAGAAACGCAACTTAGATAAAATGATTTTCTCATCTTTCAGAAAGTCAGAAAAAGATATAACCAAACTATTTTATAAATACTATTAGAACGTTTACAAATGCAAAAACTGTTACCGGTCGACATGAATTTGAAATTTTAAAATTTATTCTTAACCTTGAAATTACACTTTGACATTGTGCTTTTCAAATGATTTTTTTTTTTTTCATTTTTCGGAAAATTCGAAAAGATGTTAAAATAGGTGTCCCTTTACAACTTTTTGCAAAATACGAACGTTGGTTAAAACACTTCAGGTTTCAATCCCCTAAGGCAAATCTGTTTCGGTTCTAATACATCCTTGGCTTTCAAACATTTGGCTTTGAGCGTTCTTAGTGAAGGTAAACCCAGAAAAAGCGCTTCGCGAGCATGCCATTTATAAAGCGCTGTTTTCATTTTTTGGAGTCCAAAATTCAATTGAACATGTTGCGACACTTGTCAACAGCTATTGTCTTTGTCTCATTCGTAATCACTGTTTGATATTTTGTGCAGCGATTGTATTTTCAAAGAGTGAACATATCTAAACCTATCAAATTGCTATATATCAAAAATCGATATTAACTGACTCGATAAAACAGTCCAGACAAAACCTAGAAATCGTAACACGTTGAAAACGAATCGCAAACATAAGTATATAACAACTGAGAGTATATAATGAGAGATTTGAATTCTATTTATTTATTAGGTTGTTCCTGAAATATCTACGACTGATAAAGATTTAAATCCTACAGTTACCTATAGCATTTCAACATATACTAACAAATTCGCCATTGATTCATCCACTGGTAAGATATATCTTGTTATATATACTTGTTTTTATTTTGAATTTTTCAATTAAGAAATCGTTGAAACGAAAGACATACACTAAACACATATTGCCTTAGCACAAACAAAATTAGATAAATTGACGAAAATAACACATTTTTTCGTAGTTATAGATCTCCCAGAGAAGAAAGGGAAAAAATCACACATATTCGATGCTGGTCCGTATTGTCGCTCCCATAAATCCGGACTTGCGTACATTGTAAATCTGTCAACTAACATACTTTCTTGGATACTTTTTATCTTTGAGCTCCTTCTTATGACTGTGCTGTGATTTATTTGCAAAATTGTCTTACCTGTTACCATATACATATCCGATATGATCTAAGTTTGACATGTTGACGATTCACGCATTACATGTAATTATTGTACTAATGACGGTCACTAAAATTTGATGGTTTTCAGTAATTTCGTACTAGGGAACTAGCTAAGTTAGTTTCAGCATGTAGTTTTGAAAGGTTTAAAAGTTGGCTCTGTTGAGCTTTACTTATTGATACCTGTTACATGATATAGTGAGGGTGCACAATTTAGCGTATTTACATTTTGCGGGAATGCATTCATACGCAGAAATAGTTATCATGTCGACATATTCAGTTCGCTTCATTTGAAGTTATGCAATTCCATCTGGTTTCTATATTTTCATTTGTAATTTCTTACTATTGCCTTTAACATTTGTAACATATTCAAATAATGTACATTCAATTAATTAGTTTCTTGTTTCATAATAGGTACTATCAGAACAATATCTCAAATCGACAGAGAATATAACAAGTCTTTAACTGTTGGAGTTGTTGCAACCGATGGCGTTAATTCTGTAACGACTACAGTTACTGTCAAAATACTGGATGCCAATGACAATAATCCCCAATTCGATTCTGGCCAAAACAGGTAACTGCTTTTTGAACGATGGATCTTACCAATAAAATAACAGCCGACTTCCTTGATTTATTAGTTCAGTTAATTAAATGAGTAATGATTATCTAACATTTATAAATTTCTTTGAAGTGAGTCTTTTAAGGAATCATATTTCAAAGTAAATTTTCGGTCTAGCGTTTGTAAATTTTTACATGATACGAGAAACAAACATATTTTTGAGAAAGGTAGAGGAGATCACAGCCTGCTAACTTCATTCTTGACCACTTATGTTCAACTAAATTCACGAAATGAATTGATAATTTACAGAATTTTATACATATTTACTGACTGTGAGTCACCTAAATATACAATAAAGACATATTATCAGTAAATGGTCAATGGGAAATACCAAAATTGTTTTTTTAAACGGTCTGTTTTCGCCTAAGTATTTATCGAAAAAATATGTGTAAAATATGGCGTTTAAATTTCTGCTTTACAAATAGTTCGATGCATTATGTTAAATGTTATCAACTCCATTGCATTCAAAACTTTACTTTTAGCGTCTGGCGTATAAAAGTTTAATCCTGGTATCTATGATGAGTTTATTTACTTCCATTGTATTATTTTTCTGACCATTTGATTTTACGTTGCTCTTACATTTTATACAAATCTCTTGTCTTGTTTGTCATGTCTAAGGTATTACAGTATATATCTTCTATTTTTTTATGACAATAATAATTTCTCAAGTGGTGATAAACGAAGTAGTTTCATACCAAAGGTAGAATAACAAAATAATCCTTTGATAAAATATTGTCTTGTAGACTGTTTTATTTTTATAGACAAAATCTAGTAGATTTGTGTAAAAATACAGAAATAGTATTATCCAATTATTTGTATTAACATGTTATATATTGTAAAAAAAAATGATGGTGATCATGAATTTTTTCACTGACACACATGAACACAGCTCCCTTGTATTAAACCACCTTGCTTGTATGGTTTTTCATGCTGGACACAAGATACAATGATACAGAAGAGCATACTATACTATCACAACTATACATCTTAATACGGCTAAATTGTTTTTTATTCTGAATTTGAATTATGAGGTCCTGAAGTAAAACTGTATTGACCGATTATTTGTGGAGATCCTGGAATCAAATTATGAAGGTCCTTTAATATTTGAGGATATCCTGAAATCATATTATGGAGGTCCTGAAATATTTCAAGATATCCTAAAATCAAATTATGAATGCCTAGTAATCCAATTATGGATGTCCTGAAATAATTCAAACGAATTATGAAAGTCCTGAAATATTTCAGGAGCTTCTCAGCTACAATCATTTTGACCAAATACGCGCCTCATAATAAACAGATTAAGTAAATTTTGATCTAACTCGTTTTGTAAAATTTTCTTAACAATATCAATGTTAAATACAAACAATTTACAAACATTTTCAAAACCATTAGCAATCAAGATATTAGTTGATAACTTTGTAAGATATGTTGAAAAAAACTTAAATATTTATTGTAGTATATTTTATTGTTGAATTGTCGTCTTTTTAAAGTTTTACCCACACATCTTCTAGCAATACAAAAGTCAAAAAGTCTGAAAAGATCAATTTTTGTCTGAATTAGCATGAATTTTTACTCGACATTCTTTCTTTGTCTGAATTATTTTTAAAAATTCTTAACATATTATGAATTTGTCTAATAAGGTTCTTGATTTTTCTTGACAAGTGTCTTGACAGTATTAAAATTGTCTAAAAATTTCTCAACACTTTCTGTATCATTTAAGAGTCTTGATTAGTCTCGACCAATTCTTGACTGTCTTAAATTTGTCTCGATCAGACTTGACATATTCTTGACAATCTTAATAATGTCTGAATATGTCTTGACATATTCTTAACATTCTTGATAATGTCTGAATATGTCTTGACACATTCTTGACAGTCTTAAAGCTGTCTGTATACATCTCGACACATTCTTGACGGTCTTAAAGATGTCTTGACACTATCTCAACAGTATACATTTCGCTTGAATTGTGTATAGACACATTCTGCACTGTTTAAACACTTTCTTTTACTGCTATATACTTATTTTTATTATCGCTAAACTAAACTTAGAAGAATCAAGAATTTGTATAGTAAGATACCTTTTGGGTGCACCTATGTGGAAAACTCCGAATGACCCCCCATGTAGTTTAATTTTGATTTATTTTTTATTAAACGTTTAATTAAATTGTTTTTACTTGGAATATATGTCGAAGTTACTGACAAACACCATTTTTGATTTTTGCTGATCAAAAAATTGCCAGTCAAATTAGCTTTACTAAAATGGGTGACTTGACGCAGTTTTAAAATGTGACCATGTGTCTCTTTTGAACCCCACCATTCATCTTGTGCGTGTGTGTGGCTAAAAAAGGGAGGGGGACTTTCGTTTGGGACAAAGAATTTGTTCCCATCTTGATTCAAAAACTTATTCATTTTTATTTAGAACAACCAAAAACATTTTTTATTCAATATTGAGTGTTGAATTTCATAATTTTTATCAAAAGTAAATATTTGTTATACTTCCCTCCTGATTTTTTTCTCAAGAAATCATAGAACAAAATAAATGTTTAGATCTTAATTATGCATGTCTGTTTGAGATCCATTTCATAAGACCAATGATTTCTAAAGAAATCATTGATGGGACCCTTTATAAATATAGTTTTCTATTATTCCTGGAATAGATAATAGTTTTCTTTTTATCTTTGGGAAATTATCCAATTTGTTTTTATGTTAAATTATTTTACTTCATAATGATGAAGAAAATCCATTTTAATTCAAAATTTATGAATTTAAATGATGATTTTCATTTTCGTCTATCAACAAACTTTTTAAAATGTAGTGGCATGGTCATTCAACTGATAAGTTGCATGGCTGATTACAGGTAAAGTAGTAATTTTCCATATGACAGTCGCATGTACCATGGGGTGTGTATAACTTATTTGGAATACATTAATTGTATGGGGAACATCCTGTCCACGTGTAATACTTAATATATATTGCAACAGATGACATTACACAAATTTTCTTCTGTACAAATCCTTGCAAGAATTAGGATACAATAATACTTCGCTATTTATAAAAACCACATTTTGGTACAATAATTGTTCATTTACCCTATTAACATTGAATATTATGCATGTAGAATGAAATATGTCTACAGTATGATTGGTTTTAATCATTTAGCAATTATTTATAAGATTTAGGAATCAACATTTGTAATTATTTACAAAACCACATTTGTATTGTTAATACTTTAAATTTCATAGCCATATTTGTATTTATAAAAATATTTATATACCCAAATTTTCAATTATTTTACATGCCCTACTTTTGTTTCTGTTTTAACACGTGTAACTGAAACAACAGCATATTATATAAAGAGAAATAAAGATAAAGTTATATCATGTATATTGGTCATGATTTGTAAAACTCAGAATTGTCAAGTAAATTTAAGAAACAATTCAAAATGTTCAGAATATGTCAAGCCATACTGAGAAAAAATAAGAATGTCGAGAAATTTCAAGACAGTATTTAAATGTCAAGAATTTGTCAAGAAATTTTAAGACCATATTCAGAATGTCGAGAATTTGTCGAGTAAATTTCATACAAATTTAATATAAATGAGAATTTGTCAAGAAAAATTAAGACACAAGTCATACCTTTGGAGAATGTCGAGTAATTGTTCATGCAAATCAAGACAAAAACTGGTCTTTTCAGACTTTTGGACTTTTGTAGTGTATTGTTTAAACATGTAAATGTTCAATCGATTTCATGAGTGATAGTAATTAAAACATCTTACAATTCTCTCAGTGTTTCAGTTTCTGAAAATTCTTCAATTGGAGCACATGTTACAACTATACTTGCAAATGACGCTGATGACGGGAAAAATGCAGATATAACTTTTGACCTCGTCAGTAATGGTGGTCCTTTTAGAATTAATCAAACAGCTGGAGAAATTACTGTCACTGGGAAACTAGACCGTGAATCTTCCGAATCACATCGAGTGATTATATATGCACGAGATAATGGTAAACAAATAAGATCAAGTTCAATGTCAGTTACAATAACTGTACTTGATGCAAACGACAACCCACCAGTGTTTACTATAGACGAAATTGAAGTTGAATTTGAAGAAAATAAAAATTGTTCTAACCGAATATCAACTATAAGTGCCACTGATGCAGACAAATCTGGTTCTATTAACAGCCAGATAACTTATTCTTTGTTAAGGTAAGAATTGTTCAATCTGATTTATTTATCAGTACATCCTACTAAGAAATAACTTCCATGTTTTGTATACAATGTAGCTACAGTAAAGAAGTGAGTTTAATTCTACACCAGATTGTCGATTTAAACTACAGTACTCGAATAAGGAAATTCAAGGCTCAATAGATCGAGCTAAATTGTTGCTGTTTCTTCTTTTTTATGACAGAAAAATAGCATATCGCTTTAAATAGAGGTGACCAGGAAGAATGTTTGTCAATGCGAGATAAATATCTACTATTTAGTAGATAATAACAATTATAATATTTTCATTGATACTTTTTATTTCAGTTATTTCAAACAGTCACGTTACATATATTTTATAGTTGTCCAATCGTCCTAGTATAACATGATTTGAAAACACAATTAGTGCGTCCTTAAGGATATTTGGCATAATCAGACTTTGAAATACTTTTACATATATATCATGTATATAGAGGAATATATATATTACTCCATTATTCAATATTTTTTGGAATTCCAACACGGCTATTTTATTAAGCGACATTGTATTTAAGCAATGAAAAATAATATTAGAAAGAAAACTATTTCCTTTAACTCATATCGCAGTCAAAAATTATTGATAAAAAACTAAAATATTTTTATAAGTGACTCACGAATTACATTTTCTCATATAGATCATTCCGCTGTAACATCAACGTTAAATCAATCTTGTAATATTGTTTTTGTAAGAAATCATCCGGACTATGCTATTCTATATATAATGTTTCAACTTTCAGTGGAAATGGAATGCACCATTTTATCTTGGATCCATCTGGTATACTAAAATGTAATAAAACCCTCAACTACGAAGAGCAATCCTCATACCAAATTACAGTTAAAGCTCAAGATAATGGTTCTCCTCCATTAAGTTCAACACAATCTGTTATTATCAATCTTAGAGATGTCAATGACAACGTCCCAATCTTCGAATCTCCTCCAACTACGATAACTATCAGGTTTGTTACCTATGTAAACTAAAAGTGATACAGATGTAAAATGAACAAGGGTCATTGACGTATACCCAATATCACCTGTTATTCATAACATGAAAAATGGATATACATATGGTCAATATTTTTTGTTTATAAACCTATGGGCAACCAGAAAGAAACAGAATAGTAGTATTATTTTAGAATTGTTCTTAATGATCCGAAATGTATCAATGGTAGTGTTATAAAGAAAATGTTAAATGATCAATATATATCACTAAGCTTTCAAAATGTGTATTTGTATGCTCTTGTGATTGGGTACTTCCTAAGTAGGAGAGATCTCTAATAATAATTTCTTATGTCATTTTTGTAACACAATATAGTTATTCTGACGACAGATTAGTCGAAATGAGTTCTTCTAAACTCCATGGAATGTATACACTCCCAAAAAAAGAAACGCAAAAAGTTTTTGTCTTCAAAATGTGATTTTCTAAAGAAATTTGCGTGATTGAGACTTACAAATATGATCATGTTAAGATTTAAATGTCCGATATTGAATTTTAACTCTTGATAGTTGCCGTTGACCCTATTTAACTCTGCACGAGGAAGGCTTACGGGAATGATAAGAGCATTTGACCGTGCGAATAATACCTTATAACTATCTTTAAGCGCGTGTAATGGGTATGAAAAACACCTAGCTGTTTAATTGAATGAAGTCGTTCATACCCAATCTATCATTACCTACATCACCTTGTACCCTACATCTCTTCATGTATTCTTTTGTTGAATAAACTGAAATCATTTTTTTTTCATTTGTAATACTGGTTATTTATAGCATTTCTGTCAAGTTTTGTCATAATCAGTTCAGTAGTTTGAGAGAAATCTAGTATAATTTATGACGACATCTACAGCGATTTGAGCAAAATTTCTTTATAAAATCCATATCACGCCGCATTATGATAGAATATATTGTTTCTGGAACTTACTACGATATGACAAGACTAGACAACTACTGGAACATCGTCAATGGTCCTCTACAGGCATTTCAATTAAAAAATGCAGTCGCCAGACTTTATAGTGTTCCCAGGAGCACAATAGCCAGACTCTTGCAACGGTACCACAAATCCGGTTCAATATCTGACCGTCAATATTCTGGCCGACCTAGTATCACAACACCATCACAAGATGCTACATCCGGGTTATCAACCAGAAAAACCGGTCCGTTACATGTACAGGAACAACATCAAATGTCCTAGTTCTCCGACGAATGTCGACACAAGACAGTCATAAACCGTCTCCTTGAAAACCAGGCGTCCTGATTTTAGCGCAGCAAAGTGACATCGACATCGACTGGCAAGGGCAAGATAGTGCAACAGAATTAGGGGATTGGACCTTTAAAACTGGGGGCAATTCTGGTTCATCAATGAATCAAGATTTATGCTGCAGAAAAAAGATGACCTTACACATATCTCACAAACGCCGGAACGAAGGATTTACAAGGAACCGCGTCCTTGAGGTCGACAATGTTTGCACGGGATGTGTGATGATGTGTAGGGTGCAATATCCTATGCCCGAAAAAAATAACTGTTGCACATCCCCTGCAACCTTAACGACATTCGATAAGGAGAAGAGATTTCGACACCACACATTCTGCTCGTAATGAACCTCCGTAGGGAAGTTTTGTTTTTTAGCACGACAACGCACATCTCATGCTACTGGTGACTTTCTAGACAACCAGAACGTAGCAGTGTTCCCCTGTTCGTCCTTATCACCAGATTTGAACCCAATAGTACATTTGTGATTTGATTTTGATAAACGCGTAGGCCGTCTTCATGCAGCGTCTAAAACTCTGTAATAACTGACGCAGGATCTTGAACCAGAATTGGGAAAATTCCGCAAATAAATATTCGTCGCTGGATCTCGAGTCTATGCCGAGACGAGTTTTTTCTGTGTTATATGCTAATGGTGAACAAAACAGATATTGACTTTGAAGTGACGTTATCTTAACCCTATGAACTTAAATGTTATGCAATCTGACATATTAATGAACTTTCCAGTCAACATTGTTCCAAGTTTCAGCGTAATATGATGCTTATTTCTTCACATGTTGCGTCTCTTAAATTGGATAGTATATGTGAAAGTTAGTTTCTTGGTGATGTTAATAATTTTAAATGTTTAAAATACAATATTGTGTAAAAAGGGAAAAAAGCAAGTTAAAATACTGTGGACTCACTATTGTTCGTGGCTCACCGATTTTCTTTCATTTCGGAGGTAATATATCATTTTGGATATTCAACGAAGTATAAATGGTCCTTAGGCTGGTATACAAACTTTTTCACGAAATAAAATATCCACGAAAATACCATTTTTTCTCAATCCACGAAAATTGGTATCCACAAAAATAAAAGAATCCACAGTAGAACGTACAATTTTCTTTTTTAAGAAAGATTGTGTAATAATGATTGAAGTGCCCATAAATGTGAACTAAAATTGAGAATGGAAATGGGGAATGTGTCAAAAAGACAACAACCCGACCAAAGAGCAAAAAACAGCCGAAGGCCACCAATGGGTCTTCAACACAGCGACAAAAATCCAGGCCAGAGGCCCCTGACTTGGGATAGGCGCAAAATGCAGCGGGGTTAGACATGTTTAGTGAGATGCCAACCCTGCCCTATACCTCTAGCCAATGTAGAAAAAACAAACACACAGCATTACGCACAGTAAAACTCAGTTTAAAATAAGTCCGAGTCCAATGTCAGAATAGGTAACAAAAGAAACTAAGTAAAATGACAATGATATATAAATTAACAAAGGACTACTAGTAGTTACTGACATGCAAGCTTCAGACCTTAATTAAACTGATTGAAAGATCATATCTTCATCATATGAAAATTATGCACAATCCCTCCCGTTAGGGGTTTAGTATCATACTATCATAAAATATATGAGAAGAACATAACCCGTATCAGGCCGAAACTGGTTTTAGAATAAATGTGTTTATTTCCGATGCAAATTGTCCGAAATTTGGCTTATAATTTTTTTTCAGCTATAATAAAATAAAACGCGAACTTAACAGAAAGATTTATGGATATATGTTTTTAATGGTTAACTTGAACGAGCAAAATAATTTTTAATTTCCATTAATTGTAGTTCGCTTAATGTCCCGTGGAAACGCACCCAGAAATTTTCAGGACAAGGTGAATGTTTGAAAATTTCTAGATACAAGAACTATTATACAGTAGTGATTGATATGAAATATATTTAACTGAAGAGAACACAATGACTGAATCCCTGTAAGGCAGGACATCGAATTACTAAGTTTTATTTTTAGAAATTACCTGTGACGTCACTTTTTGTGGCATTGATACATTCGTGTGACGCACAGTTCATAATTCTATTGTGGCGTACATTGGAGGTGTCCGTTGTTATTCTGTGGTTTACATGTTGTAATGTACTATTATATTATTTATTTATGTATTTCTTGCGTTTATTTGTACTGTATTCCTGTCACGTAATGTTGTAATTTTAGCGGTATTTTAACATTGCCATAAAAGCGGGAGGTTAGGCTAGCCATAAAACCAGGTTCAACCCACCATTTTTCTGAAAATCTCCTGTACCAAGTCAGGAATATGGCAGTTGTCATCGAATAGTTCGTTTCTATATATGTTGGCGTTTGTTTTTGTAGCAGGTCAGTGTTTATGTTGTTCCGTTGTTTTCCTCTTATAGTTGATGTGTTTCCCTCCGTTTTGGTTTGTGACCCGGATTTGTTTCAGTTAAATCGATTTATGACTATTGAACAGCGGTATACTACTGTTGCCTTTATTAATCAAGCGTCAGATTAAAGGTTGTGATAGAAAGCACTGCTTTGAATAGAGAATGGTAAAAACCTCTGACCAAATACATGTACGCAAATTTCAAATTGAAAATAACTATGCCAATATTCGAAGAAAACCATTGTATATAAGGTTTGTATAATATTTTCACATTTAAATATTGATATGATGAGATATTTTATTTTTTCCTTTGTCGGTAAAAGATTACTTATTACTGTTATAAATCGACAAACTGATATCTGTAAGGATACTCCTAATTTTCAATGTAATATAAATTTAACCTACTTTTTATATAGATATTTCTCAGCAACAGAACGTGTTATTGAGGTCTTTAAAGCGACTGATAAGGACTCTGGAGAAAATGGTAGAGTGACTTACAGTATCAGTGGTACTGCAGCGAGTTTCTTGAGTATTGACCCTAGTAATGGTATTTTACGTACAAAAAGTTCTATTAATATAAACAATAATAACTATACTTTACAAGTTATAGCAAGGGATAACGGTAATCCTATGAAACAGAGGAGTACTTCAGTGAGAGTTACAGTAGTTAAAAAAGGCACAAATCAACCAATTCAATTCACACAGCAAGAAATAAACATGACAGTAAAGGAAAATCGCCAAATCAACTCTCCTTTAGAAAGTGTTTCATCAAAAGTCACGAATACAGCTAGTGTAACTTTAAACTATGAGATTATTGATAGCAGTTCAGACTTGGCATTTGATGTAAATCCAACATCTGGTATGGTAACCTTATCGAAACCCGTTGACAGGGAAAAAAACGACATTCATGAATTTGTTGTTCGTGTGAAAAACCAGGCAGATAATAAAGAGAGCGATCTTGCCTTAGTAAGTTTACTTATAATTACAGACATGCAAATCGTTCGCTTTAAGTACGTATAAGCCTTTTCTAGTTATTTGAACATCTGTTTCTTTTCACTTGTCGAGTTCATTACAAGTTCTCTGGATTTCAATTTTGGCTCCATTAAAGACAAAGTCTGTTCGGATTCTTCAATTGCCAATGAATAAAGTGCATACTATTTTACAGTTTCCCTTCTTCCTGTATGACTTATCATCGAACTTTTCAAGTTCAAGCGTAAGACAACACATGCCACTAATTGAAAAGAAATTACGATTTCCCGACTCACCTGAGTCAAATCACTGTTGTGTCCTTATTTAGTACTTGCTGCCTATTAAGTTTTGTTTATAAAAGGCCAAACCAGACATGACAAGATTTGAAACAATTCAAACGAAAACAAATATGACAGACTGTACACAACGACAACCTTAAGTACAGGTACATATAGAATATGGCGGGGTTAATCATATTTGTTAGCGCTCATCTCTAAGTAAAGTTATAGCACAACAATATAACAACAAACTGTAAAAATTAGTTGGAAATGGTTTGACCGAAGCACACAAATAATTAACATAAACAAATTACACTAGTGTACCGATCTAAAATACTCACAGTTACTGAAAGCTACTTTAAGCCAATAACAACTAATAGATAAATCATTTTCTCTCAGACTAAATCCTCAATCAGGTCCTATCTAATGGATTTAGTTTAACGATATCATAATCAGCATGAGAAATGCATTACCTTATGCATTTCTAAAGATATAGGTATACAATGTCGAAAGGATGTACGACCATAAGTATCCATAAATATTTAGCAATACTATCTATTTATGTTTTAATTTATCCCAAAAAAATATTTGTAAAAACTGATACGTTTGACTGTTAAGCTTTGCATCTTCCCCTGGGTATCTTCTTACTTTTTTTAAATTTGGAAACACCGAGTACACACTTATGAGCGAAATAAACAAGATGGTATGATCATTTCATATTTCGGGCGTGGGTAAGGAGGCAGATGTTTTAAAAATCAGTACAAAGTTTTACATGTGTGAAAAGAAAAAGCCGGCCTCACAACAGGATCAAATGAAAGAGGGGCGAAAGATACCATAGGGTCAGTCAAACTCATAGATCGAATTTAAACTGACACCGCCATGGCTAAAAAATAAAAAGACAAGCAGACAAATGATAGCACACAAGGCATAACATAGAAAACTAAAGACTACGCAACACGAACCCAACCAAAAACTGGGGGTCATCTCAGGTGCTCCGGAAGGGTAAGCAGATCCTGCTCCACATGTGGCACCCGTCGTGTTGCTCATGTTATTACAAATCCGGTAAATAGTCTAAATCGGTAGGTCACATTCGTGGTGAAAAAGGAAGTGGATTGTTATTACGACATAAGGAACATATCCGATATCATCTGTGAAACGGTTATTTCATAATGGCCAACCAACTCGTGATGGCGTCCGTAAAATTTACGAAGGGATGATTTCAACTTCACCATTTGGAACTCTTGGTTTAATAGCTTATTTGTGAGCAGCAACCCTCTATCAATGAAATCATGATCGGAAATACAAGCCCGGGAATATTGTATCAATTGGGAGATATCTACTCCGTATGCAGGCGCTGCTGGAATTTTGCTACATAGAAATGGAAAGTTCACAATTAGGAAGCTGAAATCATCTCTTTTGTCGTAAAGTTTTGTTTTCAACCGACCCTCATTGTCAATTTCTAGATGTAAGTCAAGGTATGAAGCAGACTTGACTGTATCTGTTGTATCCTTTATCTCTAGTTCGATGGGATAGATGCGTTCAACATAGTCACCAAGTTTTTAATTATTTAGTGAGAGAACATCATCTATATAGCGGAAAGTAAAGTTAAAGGATATTGCTAACTTCTTATCTTTCTTCTTAAGAAGTTCCTGTAATAAGTCAGCCTCATAATAATAAAGAAACAAGTCGGCAAGAAGAGGGGCATTATTGGTTCCCATTGGAATGCCGACAGTCTGTTGAAAAACACGTCCTCCAAAAGTAACAAATATGTTGTCAATCAAGAAATCAAGCATCTTGATAATGTCAGTTTCAGAGAATATTTTGTTTGAATCAGAGTGATTCTTTACAAAGTAGGATTTATCCCTCCCCAAGACAAGATACTTGTATCTACGTTCGCCATTCTTTTTTATGAAACAAAGCAATAACAACTCTTTCAATTTGTCTTTTAGTTTGAAATGGGGAATACTTGTGTAAGGTGTAGAAAAGTCAAATGTTTTAATACTATTGCAAGATGAGAGAGTCTTAGATTGTATGTACTCTAAAAGATCTTTGGAATTTTTTAGTATCCATATCTGATTCACTCCACCTCTAGAATATGCAGTTTCACAATAACTTTGAAGCCCGGCTTTGATTGCTGATAAAATAGATGTTAATAATTTAGAAAGAGGTTTCGTGGAGCACTTGGAAGACCCAGCAATATATCGAAATTTTACCTGAAATTTTTTTCTACCGCTTTTCCACCACCACAAATTAAACGGACGTCCATTAAAATATTATTTTTTTGCGCACGACACGTGTTTCTGAAGTAATCTACATCAGGAACCCTCAATGAAAATATTTGAAAAGCCACAATTGCAAGACGTTTTACAACATAAAAAACCTTGAACAAACCAACCAAATCACATTACGTCAAATTTGCTCAAGGAGCTGCAACCTATATCAGGATGTCTCCCCAGGATTCGATAAAGAACAGTTAAATATACTGGACACTTTATAGTAAAACATATGATACATACGTAGGACTGAATTCATATGATTCTGGAATAACCTCTTTCAGGGATACTCGAAATCGTAATTTGGAAAACCAAAAATCCAAAACTTTTAAAAAACGGCAGAAATTTATCATCAATTTAATAAATATTGTGTGTGGTATGAAGACTTATCAACAAAGACAAAAAGTTAAACAAAATACAGATCAATGTACGGCTTATATAAAGATCAAAACCTTTGTTGTATAGTATGCTATAAAAGAGACAACAGTACGTAGTTAAAAGATAATGACATCCCGGCAATATATGTCAAATTAACAGAATCACAGGGCCCGAAAAAAATATGAAAACTTTCAAACAATCAAAATAGAAAATTTACGGCCTGTTTTAAAGAAATAAAATTTAATGAAAAACAATTGTAGCAGACATTAACCAATGAGAATTAAATTTTATGAATATGCAACTAAAGTTTCTATTTATAAAAAGAAACTTTTCACGAACGTGACTTTTGATTATAAATTGTTATTGTAGGTGAGGGTCCGAATAGAAGACGAAAATGATAACAAGCCGACATTTTTTAGGTCAGCTTATTTCTTTAAAGTGTACGAAAATAGAGCAATCACCACTGTAGTAGATCCACAAATCATAAAAATACTAGCAAGAGATGTTGACATAGGCGATAATGCTATAATTGAATTTCAATTATCTGGAGAAGGTAAGTGCATTGGTTTTCCAATGACACAGGTCAGTCAATACTTTTCAAAAATCCATAAGGGTTTGTGACTTTCCCCTGAATAAATTTGTTTTAATTGTGTAATCATTATTAGTTCTTGAATGTATATATATAAAAAAAAGATGTGGTATGAATGCCAATGAGACAACTCTTCACAAGAGACGAAATGACAGAGACATTAACAATATGTCACCGTACGGCCTTCAACAATGAGCAAATGTGTGTACATTTTGTATTCATTAAAAACATTGCCGTCTCATTTCATACTAGATACAACTCCAATGAAGGCTGATGCATGCACTATGATAAAATATTATTCAACTGCGGCATCTGTTCCAATTTAGTGTGAATGGGATTATGTTTCATTTAAAATTACCCTACAGTTTATACCTGGAATTGTCATATTTGAGAAAGAGGGGCGAAAGATATCAGAGGGACATTCAAACTCATAAATCGAAAATAAACTGAAAACGCCATGGCTAAAAAAAACGACAAACAGACAAACAATAGTACACAAAACACAACATAGAAAACTAAAGACTATATTCTAAAATTTCTTTCTCTCAAATTGAGAACACTATACATTTAGATTCAATGAGAAAGTCTGTATATTATACACTTTTTTTTTCAATTTGTCATTTTCTAGAAAAAAAAATGAACTCAAAACTTGGATAAGAATCTAGTCTTTTATCGCAAAACTCATTTCGAATTTTAGTTGCGTTTAGATATGCACTCGTTGAAGTATACCAGCGCTTTTTTTTTTATTAATAGTGCTTTATCAGACGCATGCTTTGTTTATTTACAATTACCCATCTAAGTTATGAACAAAAATAACAGACTACAATTTCTACGTTTCAAAACACGAATAATACAATCATTACAGAGTCATCTTACTCATAGCGATAATATTGATTTAAGTACGCATTGCTTTACGATGTTCCCTTCATAAAGAATATATTTGTCAAAAGACGCATCAGCTTAATAATCAATACATACCTTTGAACAAAACGCATCTCTCTTGTACAGACCCATAATAAAATTGAACATACTGTTTTTTCAATTAACACGAAAGGAAAAAGGAAATTGGAGAATCTATTTTGGACTTTATTTGGGAGACTTCGTAATAGCATCATGTTACAATAACTTTTAGTTGTAATGTGTTTTAAAATCGTTTTGTTGTACTTATGATTAGTTCGTGTGTGCCTACTAGGAATATGTTGGCCGTTTCAAAGGTGACACCTACAATTTATCTACCAAAATATAAAATTGATAACCCAATGTTTAGATTTCGTAAAAACATTTCAAATTAGCGAAAACAACTATGTAAATCATTACTAATCTAAAAGGAACATGAGCCAAAAGGGTACGCTTAGCTAACCCTGTCCATAAATTTGACCTGACTGCATTTATAAATCGTGCATTACATATTGCTTTGCTCCTATGTTTTGCATTTTACCCTTTTATATCTAATATTTTTCTTTAACACATTTATATTTAAGGTCTTTATAAAGAATGCAGTTCCGCATTCAGTCTTGAAAACGCTGGAGAGAATGCACAATCTATAAAACTTTCAAAGAAAGTAGATTATGAAGTTTTAAAGAAGTGTGTATTCAGTATTGAGGTAATTTTCCTAAATAATATTCTTGAATAATATGATTCGGAAATCTAAATTATGTAACATCTTTTTTTTAATAATAACTGACTCAGTGTACTTATAATTACTCAGTGTGTAATCTTTGCGAAATAAGAGTAAAATTCAACTCCAAAGCTTATTCCGAGCAAATGCTTTATCTTTAGATTTTATTTTAACACGCAACATTAAATACAATTAAGATAAAATACTTAACAAATCACGAATAAAAGAAGATGTTGTATGATAGGCAATTGGACAAAAATCCACCTAAGACCAAACGAAAAGGATTTTATCTTCTATAGACAAAGGAACAGCATTCAACAATGAGCAAAGATTTTTCTGGATAAGAATTACTGTTGGAAAGACGACATCAATTTCAATGTGGCTGGTAACCACAGCGAACACAAATACAAAATGTGTAACAGATACAAACATAACTTTAAGAATAAATACATATAACTGGTATACAGTTAAACAATTATTTCTCCGTAAAAAATCAACAGATATTTGTTTTAAATGGTTAGATTATACCTGAGAAATATTACACAGACCTATCTGAGTCTATGATAATTATGTTTGATGCTTCATCTGTTTGAAAAACTTCATCTTTATGGATATTTCGGATATCCAAAGCAAATAAACAAATATACAAATATACAACTATACAAAGAAATACATGTATAACCAAAGAAAGAAATTCAAAGAAACGTGAAAAAAATAATAAATATGTTTAAATCGAATTCGTCAGTGAATGTTTAAATTATATATATAATTTTGTGTTCAGGCATATAATCCAAATAATAGGACGATGAGTACTTCCGTTTATGTGACAGTTGACATTTTGGATTATAATGACAACCCACCAGAATTTACTGAACAGTCTTCAAACAATGTATTTACAGTTCATCTTCTTGAGGATACAACCATCAACGATCGTGTGAGTTTAAGACTTTTCTTCCGTTTGCTTCAATTCTTGAATATATGCTTTCCCGGAAAACAATCAAGATTGTATGCATTTTCATTTGTATAAGTAATAACTATGTTGGGTTAAGTAAATTTAACTTTAGACATGAAATATGAAGATCTTTCAAAATACCTTTTTAATAAAGTATCAACCAAACCAACGCCGCATCTCTTTATGCGACTTTATTAAACTTTTTAATATCTTGGTGCAAATGTTTGACTTTCATTGTCAAACCTTTCCTTCGGAAATATTCTAAAACTGAGAAAATTGAAATAAAAGAAATATATTGAATGTGACAAAATTGTTTGAACAAATCAAATAAGAGCTTTTATTTCTTGTCATGTAATTTCGAATTTGAATTAAATGTAACTCTTTAAAAATACTTTTAGCACATTAATTCAATATCTATTAAATGCAGCTCTGTATTGTCAATGACTTTTGTGCTACAATCTGTATTAACTAAAAATCAAAAATTGCAGGTATATCAAACGTGTATTCGATATGTGGTACCGGTGCATAAGTTACGTAACAAGTTCCCTTTTTAATAATTTTTTCAGCTGGAAAGAAATTCTCTGAAATATTATTCCACCGAAAGAATGTTATAGTATTTTCTCCTAACTTAAAGATGATTGTTCAAGTAAGTATTCCAAAGGAAAAATTTAACATACCAATATAATAAGACGAGGTTTGAAATATTCTCCAGCATTAAAATTGTTGCTTTTGTTAATGATATCAAATGTTATGTTTAAAATGAAAATACCTTGCTATGGTGTAATGTAATAACATATCTATATTCACAGCAAAATTTTGGTACCGTAAAGGATGATGACTCTGGGGCGAATGGAGACATACATTTGACTGTACTTAATGATGATTGTTGGGTTACTGTAACAAAAGGTTAGAAAACTTTAGAAATAATCAATTATATGTTTATGTATCTAAATATCGAACTACATATGGTTATCGGGTTTTTCTACGCATTAATGTCGTAAAATATCTTCCGCGAGCCACAATTTGAACCCTTTTAGTTAGTAAGTTTATGATTTACGATATCTATGCACAGAAAACCCAATAATCTGTTTATCGTGCTTTTTTGGTCTTTCCCTCATATTTAAGACAGTTCTACGCTTGACGAATGTAAGTCTCTTCACACATTGTAACATCGCTGATAACTTCTAGTTGAACGTTTCAAAAGCCGTGAAGGAATTACAGAGTGACTTAGTAAGGTAAAATAGGCGAAGGGAAGGACGATAAATAAAATTGGCACGCTTTTAATAATATACTGACGGACTTTAAAACGGAAAACACATTTTTTAAATTCTTTTTTTTTTTTTAAATCGTGAAAAAACCTTTATAATATAGGTATTCATGCATACCATATAGTTGAAGTAATGCTTGTATATACTCCGAAATGTAGGATGAATGATTAAAAAAATATATCTAAAACAAGTCATGCGCAGAAATAAATAGCTATCCTTTATTATGATACAAGGAGATGATTGCCAATTTATCATTTGATTCCTATAGTTCAATGAATAGCAATTATTTAAAAATTGGATTTTTGATTTTTAATATTACTTACGGACATATGCTTATACTAATTATGAGAGTTTATGTGGATGCAATAGGGTAACTGGAAAAGAAGCTTCTGACTATATTCTGAATCTAAATTTACCTTAATAATATGTATACAATTTTAGACGCAGAACAGCTGATTTTGCAGGTTAAGGAGAATGCAAACCTCGATTATGAAAGTGGACCGAGACTAAAAGATTGTATTATAAAAGCTACCGACAAGGGCACTCCTAGCTTGAGTTCAACAGTAACACTGAGTATGATTCTAGTAGATGTAAATGATAATCGACCTGTTATAGCTAACCCTAACATAAATACAAGTGTGTCCCGTGATGCTGACGTTGGAAACACGACAATTGTAAATGAAATACCAGCTACTGATGCAGATTCGGGTGAAAACGGCAAGTTAGGTTATAGAATACGTAAGTAAACATTAGTATTGTTTTATTTGTCTAATTGCAGATTGGTATTACGATAGAAAAATAACTCTAAAAGATTGATGAATATAATGTAATGATTCAAAGTTTAGTTATAAAACTTGATAAAGACTCAAAAAGAAACATCACTTGATATATATTTAAAACAATATCTTTAAATACTAGTATTTGAACAATATATCCTCTGTAAAAAAAATACTACATAAACAAATGAACTTTATTCTACTCCACACATAATTAAAAAAACACACATAAATACTTACCTACGTCAATTTTGCATACAATGTATATATGAAGGACAGGCCTAGATATTCGTGCGTCTTCATCCTCTTTGAAACTAGTAATCTCAAAGATGTATTAAGGTAAATCAAAAAAGAAAGTGCGATTAATTCCGACAAAATCAAACATTCGACTATATCAACTAATTGTTTGAATGAAAAAAACAACTGTTATATACTTGACTTGGTACAGACATCTTCCGAATAAAATGGTGGGTTCAACCTGTTTTTATAGCTAGCTAAAATTCCCACTTGTATGACAGGTGTTCATAGTTCCATTATATTGACAAAATTGGGTGCGCAAGCCAAACAGACATAATTTGTTAACGTGATAATAATTATAATTCAGCAGCCAAGTCTGTATTAACATACACCAAAGATATACAACAAAACTAACTTAAATCGGTCAAAGACTCCAACAAAAAATGTTTTGTAGTTAATATTATATTCAGTATAGTAAAACATAATGACATACATCTTCCCGATAAAATACAAATTAAGTACAATATAAATACAAAGGTGTACAACGTGAAAACAACACTATAAAAATCACATGCGGCCGTGACTTTTAAATCACTTTATCTCACTTTGTAGAGGCATCGGAACATTCATCAAAATTTACCATTGATGCAGATACAGGGAAAATTACTTTAAACTCGCCTTTATTAACCGTTCAGAAAGATAAAATGTCGATTGCAGTAATCGTTTCCGACAAAGGTGATCCTCCATTGTCAACAACAGCAATGGTAAAATTTATTTTTCTTTATATATTTGAACAAATTGGTCGTTGCTTTGAAAGGTAGAGCAATTGACTAACTCTGAAAATTAATGGTTCGTTTGTGTCAACCATATTCATATATTTCTGTATATATTCTTAGCTTCTTTGGTTTGGGTTAGGATTACGAGTGTAGATTGTTTAAGGGCAGACGAAACAGTTGTGATCACATGTTGTATTTTTAGCCCTGTAACTGTATCGTATGCCCTTAAAGGGATACCCAACACTTTGACTAAAATTGATTTGGCTCGTTTAATTTTCATTAACTTTTGAAAAAATATTTACTTTGACCTGTTGACAAAATATAAAAGTTTAAAGAAATTTGAACCACGCATTTTACAAGAACAATTTCATTGGATTTATAGCAGTTTGACGAACACTAACTTTGATCATTGAGAAGTTTGATTTTTCTTACTAATAATATGTCATTAAAAGAGGGACGAAAGATACCAAAGGGACAGTCAAACTTATAGATCGAAAACAAACTGACAACGCCATGGCCAAAAATAAAAAGACAAACAGACAAAGAATAGTACAGATGACACAACATAGAAAAACATAAAGACTAAGCAACACGAACCCCACCAAAAACTGGGGGTAATCTCAGGTGCTCCGGAAGGGTAAGCAGATCCTGCTCCACATGTGGCACCCGTCGTGTTGCTTATGTTATTACAAATCCGGTAAATAGTCTAATTCTGTAGGTCATATTCGTGAAAAGGGAAGGGTATTGTAGTTACGACATAAGGAACATATCCGATATCATCTATGAAACGTTTATTCCATAACGGTCAACCAACTCGTGATGGCGTCCGTAAAATTTACGATGGGATGATTTCAACTTCACAATTTGGAACTCTTGGTTTAATGGCTTCCTTGTGAGCAGCAATCCTCTATCAAGGAAATCATGATAGGAAATACAAGCCCGGGAATATCGTATCAATTGGGAGATATATACTCCGTATGCAGGCGCTGCTGGAATGTTGCTACATAGAAATGGAAAGTTCACATTTGGAAAGGTGAAATCATCTCTTTTGTCGTAAAGTTTTGTTTTCAACCGACCCTCATTGTCAATTTCTAGATGTAAGTCAAGATATAAGGCAGACTTAATTATATCTGTAGTATCCTTTATCTCTAGTTCGATGGGATAGATTCGTTCAACATAGTCACCAAATTTTGTATTATTTAGTGAGAGAACATAATCTATATAGCGGAACGTAAAGTAAAACGTAAAACATTCAGCTGATTTTTAAAGAGTTAACCCCCTATGTGTTCTGTACCTCCTTAAATTCTATTTCACTTGAATGTGTTAAAAGCATTGATGAAATAAATATTTCAATGCCATAAGTTATTCAAAAAGTGATCTCCATTCACCAAGGTCTATGTCATAACTTGCCAACGTTCACAGCTTGAAGGAATATTTCATGCAATGTTTTCACAAAATACTTTACTTTACACAGTGATCACTTTATAGTGATATTGAATAGGTGCGCCCTTTTTTTCAAATTGGAACTACCTGAATAACAAAATATAAGACATGAAATTATGACTTAGACATCCGAATATGTAAGTTCTGAAAAACAGATATGCTTTGTCAACATCACAGTGTATGAATCATAGATACAATGTTATTTTTGATTAGCAATATTAAAATGAAATGCACAATAGACCCACCTAATTCACATGTAGAATTTCAAACCTTGACACCAGTCTGTCAATAAAGTTATAGGCAAATGAAGTTTAATCATGTTTATGTTGGGTTGAGTTGCTCTCTGTGATTTTTAATCATTATGATGTTTAAGACTGTTTGTATGACAACGAAGGTACAAGAACAAAGCACATATTATCTTTAGTATAAAGATTAAGATATGTCATATTAGTTTTGAATATTTGCATGCTATAACCGGTGAAGCCAGTGATGAACATTGTATTGATGTTGGTATGTTCTGCTTCTTCGCAAAAATTTTATCAGTAATAGCAAAGACACTGCATTCTGTTTTTCATCATATAGCTTATTTCTTTAAATTAAAAAAAAACCACAAAGAAACATGTTTGTTTATGTTAGAGAAGAATCCATGCAACATCAATCTTGATATGACTGTAGATTATTGTTCAAATATAAGATATTTATTCAACCGCTGTTTTGCTTAAATTTGTTAGTTATTGTCAATGAAATGATTTTAGAGGTACAAAAAGTATGATGTTAGAGTTTTATTAGTTTATATTTGGTTTGTCCTCAATCTTTAAATTCAAATAAGATCCAGAAATCTTTGGTTTTTTGTTTAACAATATGTCAACAACATTAATATTGTATCAAAATTATACATTGATTTAGGTTTCAATCCACATACTTGATGAAAATCCACGGCCTTATTTTGCACAATCAGAAACAGTTAACGTCACAGAGCATGCTCCAAAACCAAATGGCAACCTAGGTATAGTAGAAGCATATGATAGAAGCGGTGATCAAATTATTAAATGTGATTGTACATATTTACTCGACACTAAACGAGGTAGGTTTAATTTCAGCTTTATGCATTTGCTCCCCTTTTCCTTCACCTTTTCACCCATTAAAGGTTCCAGTTAAACATTTTAATGAAATATCATACAGGATTAAATAATTAAATCATTTATAAACATAAAAAGAAGTCATTGAAAAAAAGAAGCATTCAAATTCAATTAATATATAGCTGAGATTTTTTATGCTTATAAGGCGTATTATCGCTATTTTGTGTATTTTTCCTTTGAACTATTTTTATGATAATGTTTCATATCATGCTGCTTGCTTGAGAAATAAAAAAAATATCGTCAGAAACTAAAGGCGCACGTGACATTGTCAATGTAAACATCAACGACGTCATAGGCAAAATAGCGATAAAAAATTTATCAATGGTCTTTCAAACTCGAGGATGTTCTCGGCCACAGCTCATCTCAGGGCTATCGCCCTTGGATGAAATTGTTGCTGAGGAACACCCTCTCGTTTGAAAAACCATCGATAATATATAATTCACACACATGCAAAAGAGATACTCAAGTTGTGCTTGGTAGGTATTAGTTTATCCTATGTTAATATTCACGTTTTAAATTTATTATTTAAGGCATACCGTCATACCATAATGCATAGCCCAAGTGTGCTGAAATTGGCGTTAAATACTAACAATCAATAAAAAAATCAATCATTTTATAATTATTTATTAAGTCATTGCCTGAAGTACTATAAACGTTTTAGGTTTTAAAGAACGTTTGTAGTTATAGGATTTCCAGCATCTGAATTTTTGCTGGTCTATAATTTAGATATTTTGCTTTTTCACTTATTTTTTGTCTTAACTTTGCTCAGGAAACATTACGTACATCGCAATTTAATCATTGTTCATTACGTAAGAATGCAGCTTTCAGCACAAATTGCTGTCCTCGTTTTTTCTAACGGATAACCTCATGTCATGATAGTGTACACTGTAGTTGAAAAACATACATTTTTTGGTGTGGGCACATTAAAATTAGAATAAATAAGAGTGTTTTTTTCTTCAAATTTGTGTGATTGGTACTGTAAATTCCGCATAAATATCGAGTGAAAAAAGTATGGACGTTCCGTAATTCTCTGAATTAAAGAATTTCGGAATTCATCATTTAATTTCAGTTGAATATGATTTATCCCCTTTGTTCTAAACTTGACCTGCTGCAATATACCGCCATGATTATCAGTTATTAATTTCCACATGATATTTACTCTTCATTTACATATATTTAATATCTAGTTGTGCCCAGGGAATTCTCTCAGTTATGCATGATTGTCCTTAACCGTTTACCTGAATCTATCATAGCATTTATTATATGTATTTCAGAGGACATCATTATAGAAAGCAATACAGGAACTATCAAATTTAAGAATAGTAATTATGCTCTCGATCGGGAAAGCGAACCTTACGGAAAAGTGACCATTGGAGTTATAGCAACTGACAAAGGTTTGCCGCCAAAGAATTCCAAGACAATGCCATTTACAATAAATATACTCGATATTAATGATCACAGTCCAACATTCAAAGATGATTATTCCTTTAAAATACCTCAGGTAATTCGTAATAAAGAAAATACAAAATATCAAAACTAATAGTTTTCATTATATGCATAATTTTTGTCATTTTTGCTCGAAATATTCAATATGACACATGACTGATCATCGGGATGATATAGTTAAAATACAAAAAGTTTTACAATGCTCGTGCATGTTCACACTATACCACATCAGCAGGGGTGTGCTTCGTACAAACAATTGCCCATATAGAGTTAGAGTTATGAGGAAGAACGACTGAAATCTACACTACATAAGTTTTTCAATCACAATCACGAATTAGTTGACAGATACAAATTTTCTGTGTTTCATCTCACTAGCGACATGTGTGCACATTCTAAGATATGTAATTTCACCATTTTGACTGAGTGTGGATTCGAATTGCAGGCGATGCACGAAACACCTATCCTTTCGACGCACCAGGTCTGGCTCCTTTTAGAGTTCATGCGATTCTCTCAGTTTTTATTTGTTACCTTGATTAGTATCTTCCTAAATTAATTAATTGGGTTTGAACATCGGTAAACTACTTTTGTCTAATTTAACATCCTTTTGTGAACTTTTAAAATGTCACTGTCAACGTTATGTTATTTCACTACAAAAGAAGGACTGCCTACATGATTAAACTTGCATACATTTAATATTCACATAGGATAGAAATAGTTCAAAAAAGTATACATCATTATGTTCGTGTATGCATGAAAGTAATGCGTTATATGTATGTCTCGTAGAACAATGTCAAATGTATTCTACGAGAGTCTCTTCTTAACATTTTCCTTCGGTTTATATAATATATGAACCTAAATATAGGTTGCCTGAAATCGGGCTTACTTACCAATGACATTCTACTTTATGGTTGCGAGTACTAGAATACTTTATTTTGTTCACATCAGATCTACAGACAGACAACCACAAAATGACACAGAAAATTCAAGGGCATACGATACAGTCACAGGGAGGGGGAATGACGTTGCTAACAAAAATGTTACTTTTCACGACGTCAAACTGTGAAATATTGTTAAAAGATGCATTTTTCGCCTGATTTGAATCAATAGCTTGAAAATGAGTTCATGGACCCCTCTCTTTTAAAATGACATTTGACTTGATTATGTATTATCTATACCATTTTATATGAACAAATCACCTCTGATTTTTTTATATTGGATAAATATGCCGCAAAAAGTGACGTTTTTTTTCTAAAACAATGAACATTTAATCAAAATAAATTATTATTCCCAAAGAATTTTTACACAAATTAAGAGTATACTTCTGTAAAGAAGATGTTCCAAATGTTGTTTTTTTTTAACAAAAATCCGTTTGTGTTTATCTTTTGAAACAAAAAAGTTAGGTATGTCTTTCCAAGGGATAGAATTGTCCAAGAAACCTAAACTTTGACTAAATTTCTAAAATTTCGACCACATTTATCTCTAGAAGTAGCACATGAAGGTATACTTTTTTAACATATAAATGAATTCACTAGGGGGAAAAAAAGATTGTATGCAAAGTTTCGTCAAAAAATCACCTTGGGATCAAAACAGTATCGTATGCCCTTAAGATTAAGCAAAACAAAGTCTTATAACATTAAAGATAGAATTTTATAGAATATTTCGTAGGTTAAACGTTGTTGGTCAAACATTTTTCAGTCTGTCTTATCATGCACATTTGCAGTGTGACTGATTTTATCACACTTTTACACCCTTAAGTTGAAAATCGTATGTGAGATGAATAACTGGAAAATACAAAATTTGAAGTATTAGCATTTCCTTATGTCTTAACCTTTATAACATTGATTATATCTCATAGAATGCACCTGAAGGTACTACCATAGGAACAGTGACTGCATACGATATTGACGAAGATCCTCAAACACTTTATAACATCAGCATAAGTAACAATGGGGGCTTTAATGAAACTGTGGTTACCATAGGGAATAGGACAGGGAAAATAACTACATCAGGAAACTTAACCTTACGTAGTGGCCAAAAAGGTGAAATAGAGGTTTGTTTATATAAAGATGTACATCGCCTCTTCTAGTAGGGTTGACATATTGTATAAGTATTATAAAAAAAGGAAAAGCAGAAAATGTAAATTGTAATAGATATTTAAAATGTGCATTCTGGTTATTTAGAATTCTTTGTAATTCGCATAGACATGTAAATTAAAATATACCAAACATATATATTTATATTTTTATCCCGTTTAAGGACAAAAATTTTTCAGCATAAAAATCTAATTCTAACTGTGTTGGGTTTTATTTTCAGACTTTAAATAACGGTTTTAAATCTAAGAGTGTGTAAATGAGTTGTAATTTACATTTTGAAAAAATTAACACACATACAAAATTTAGAGCATCATGTAATTAGCCTGTCTCAGCTTTTTCCCAACACAGTGATTTTAAATACAATTAAAAAAAATGGTTTGTGTGTGTATGCGGTTTGTTTCAACTTGTTATGTGAAAATAATTAAAAGAACATTATGTTGGAAAGATTAGCATTTTCACATGATTCCTTTGTTTATTCAAATTTCCAGGGCAAGGTTTTTGCGGTAGATGGGAAAGATCCTACTAAATCACCAAGCCGTGTCGGAATCAAAATAAAAGTGGAATTTGATTCCAACAACAAGCATGCACCTGTATTTCAAAATAGTAAGCAAATTTCCTTTTTTTTACATTTGTGGAAAATACATTTTTATTATGAAAACAAACCCCAATTTTTATGATGTTTTTTTCTGATTGGAATGCAAAACATGCATGCAATACAAGTTTTTTTTAATACAAAACTGCATCTTCAAAATGTATATTTTACTGTTACTTTTCACAAAATCAGTATTTTTTTATCGAAGCACTAGTCTATTGCAAAATTACTACATTTTATCAATATTAATGTTTCTATTGTGTAGCTCCATATGAAACTGCAATTACTTGGAACTTAGCAGCTGGTTCCCCAATAACTAAAGTCAATGCAACCGATGCTGATACAGGAAGAAGTGGCAACGTTACATACTCCATTATAGAGAATAGCAAAAGAGTAATTATTTTATTTGAGTAATTGGTACAGTCTGACTTGCGTTTAAGAGATAACTGTATTGTATTTGAAGCTTTGCGGACGTTCATTTGTAGTTTTACTGTCGCAAATTGAGTTCATCTGGCGATGCATGCTTCAAATACAACAAAATTATCAATAATATAATTCAAACTAAACAAATCATTCAATTTTAGTCATTATTTTGGTGTTAAATTTTCATTTAAATGAAATGATGTTATCTTCTTTGGCACATAAACTAGGTGACGTCATATGTATGCTTCCGGTGTCAAACGTAAACACCGGGCGTTTTTTGGCTTGAAATTCTTGTTCGAATCAGATTTTATCAAAAGGAGATTTCTAGGTGCAAAGTGTGAGTTTTTTTGCTAATTATTGGAGAAATTACATGTCCATACATTCCGGAATTCAAAATGTCGGCTACCCTCAGTTACAGACAGGTAGATAGAGCATTTTACGCTGATTGACATCCAATCAGAACAATTGATACAAAATAATTGCATTATAATTATACATTATTTGTATAGTATAAGCATAATGATGGTAATGCAAAGAAATGCAACTTCATTCTTTTATTAAGGTGGATCATTGGTATATATTTCCTATATAAACTATCCTTTGCCAGAATGTTAATTTTCCAATGCTTTTTTGCAAAATATAAAAAGTATGAGTCACCGTGCCATTTTTCAAGCTACAAGTCGAAATTGCCCAAATTTGTATAGATTGTTCATGAAAAAACGCTTATTTGTGAATAGAAAGAAATCTATGAGATAAAATATTAAAATAAAATATGAGAAGATAAGTTTTAAAATATGCTCTCATAAAATGAAAAGAAAAATTATGTCACCAACCTGGTTTTCTTGCTATAAGTAAAAATTGAATATTTTTCTATCATTCCTTTATAAGAAATTTACTATATGAGTTATTTCTTCTTAAATGACTATGTTGATAATTTGATTAAACCAACACAAATATTTGGTATTTGATAAATCAGTCTAAAAAAAAAAATAAATCACTTATTTTTCTTTATTGCAATAAACAGTCTAACCCATTAAATTGCCAATCTGTCTCAAAATTTGCAGATTTAAGCAAATAACTAGATCTATAGGGACTACTATTTTACAGTTTAAGATGACGATATACAGTTAATCTACCTTAAGATAAATTGCATAGAAAAAGGAAAGATTAACAGTTTATCACATGTATTAATGATGTTATATTTAACAACATTGGACTTCTTAAAAGATAATTTAATTAGTCATGGATAAGGCATTGAAACATTGCTTGATAGTATTAATGAACATTTAGTTAATCTCAATTAAAATATAATGGATTATTTATCGAAATGTGATCGAAACTTGGTAGAGATTTTGATAGTTATATAAAAAAAACATAAATACGTCGTGGTCTTTCATATCATATCGTTTTGGGAAAGTTGGATAGATTGAAGTGAATTTTCAATTACAAAAATTTTCAATTACAAGAATTGCATGAAAACTTATATATAAATATCACTGAGTATGTCACTCTATCGGTTATTTTTCCAGGTTTTTTCAGTTTTGTCGTGGTCTTTCATATCACACTGTACATATATAGTTGATGCAACTACTGCTTTATGTTTAGTTATAATTTTAAAATGTTGGTATATAATTTAATTTTGGATGTAACACGTCTTCTGATTGGCTGAAAGTTTTTTGTCATGTGACCGTGACTTCATCAACGTTTTTTTATGATTTACTACTTAAAAATGAAATTTAGAATTAAATTATAAGGAATGACTGTAATATTTTTTCTGTCGATTCGAAATAACCTCAAAAATGTGGTGCACACTTAAAAGAATCCGCTACGCGGGTTATTCAGTGTGCACCACATTTTTGATGTTATTTCTACATATTACAGTCATTCCTTAAGTGGACATTACATATTTGTTTACACAATTAATTCAGAATCAACTGTATCTTTTTAATGACATGCATAAGTTACCAAAATTAATTAACATATAAATGAAGTCATCATACTGTACTATTAGAAATCAACAACAGTCCTTTATATATATACAAAAATGTTTTCAATTGTATTTATCTTTTTTCATTAAACACCATATCCTTCTATCTTGTTAAAACTAATCTTTTGATTCATTCAGACAAAAACTCGACCCATTTATTTGTATGTAATATAATCAATGAGGATATCGATAGAAACAACCTTTGGTAACGTAAAATAGCATATGTTCATTTGATTTTTGTAGGAGTTTTTCACAGTTAATAATAAAGACGGTGTGATATCATTAGCATACCAGTTGGATTCTTCAATAGGGGACACTGATAAAGTTAAACTTTACTTGACAATAAAAGCTCAAGACAATGGTATTGTTCCAAAAAGCAGGTAAGTTTCAGAAGTTGTTGTTAGTTTGTTTGGTCGGACGGTTCTTTTCTACTTTGAACTATTTTTTAGGCACGAGTAATCATTATCTTTAATCGGAAAATTTTTAGAATAATTTAGGGTACACACATATATTCCCGAATAATTTATATAAAATATTGTAGATGTTTTTAAACTAAAACCTGTTTTCAAGAATTTCAAGAACTCATGTAGATTTTTCCGATTGTGTCCTATTCCAGATTGTGAAGTGTGAATTCGATGGCGGGTGATGTATTCATAACAATAGACGCTTACGCTGTCCAAGCACCCGGTTTCGCTCCCTTTTGGGGTTCATGCAATGCCCTCAGTTTTTATTTATTAACTTGATTTTCATCTTTCTAATCGATGCACAAGATTTGTATATCAATAAACTACTGCCGCCGTAATTTACCGATAAAGTAGATCGTTTTAACAATTTTTTTCTGAAATAGATGTGGAAATATAAGGGCTTGTAAAAAATATATTTTGTTTTTGTATTTCGCAGAACTATGAAACGTTGCAATAATCAGTTGACAAATAAAACTACGACATATATAAATGCAAAACAAAATTTTGCACCTTGAAAAGTAGCATGTCAATTTTTTTTTAGTGTTAACAGTCACGAGTATCGTATCGTAATCATTATGAATGTATAACAGATTGATCTACGTGTGCGTATGCGTCGAAAAGTTAGAGACATCAGTAGTTTATTTATGTACAAATCTCCGAAATCCAATATGAAGATATAAATCAAGGTAAAAATCGTTTGAACTCATACAACAGTTAGAGCGGTTTTGTCGACAGGATAAGATTCTCCTGTGTATGCCACACTCAGTCAAAATGCCACGATTGGTAATGAAACACGATTGATAAAATTAACAAATCTGACGGCTATTCTTGTATCTAAGGATTTTTGCGCGAAAACTTGTCTCTAGAGAGTTTTAACACAATAACATCGTATCGGTAAACCAAATCACTTCCAATAATCTTAAGAATATCTTTTGTTTCACCAAATTTCTTTACATTATCTATCATAAAATTTATTTGTTCTATCCTTAAGGAAAACATAAGTTAGAGAATGATCGATTTTCTTAATATGCTCTGATTTTCCAATTGGTCGTGAGGTTAGTAGTTTGTAAGTTATACGGAATTGTTCACGATACCTTCACAAAATAATATTTAGTTTTAAACATATAATACAATTTAATTTTATCAAATAATGAATGTTACTAAATCATTTTTTTTCTTTATCATTAAAGAAATATAGATTAATCAACCGAAAACTTCGCAAAGTTTGGGTTCAACTAAGGTGCGCGTAAACAGTTACCCTTTCGTAATTCCTCTATAGAAATAATTGCCGTTTGCATACGCTCTTTCAAAATGAGATGTGAAAAACTTAGGAAGAATGAGAGTTTGACATGCTCTGTCATTATTTATGTCGTTATATATATTAACCAAAAAATAAACTCGAGTTTCACTCTTATTCAGTACAACCACAGTAACATTACAAGTTACTGGTCAGAATCCCGGAGTTTGTATACAAGGTGCAGAACATTCTAAAGAAACGCAAGAATTGGAAGACGAACGGGCAACTTGGACCATTGCTGTTTATGTACTTGTTGGGCTTCTTTGTGTATTCATTGTACTATCATTCTTTTTTGTGTACAAGTAAGTTTTTCGTCTCCAATACTTTGAGAAGTACAAGTGAATTTTCAATTTCAAAACTCTAAAAATTATTAGAATTTACTTTACACATATTATTGATGGATTAACTAATGAGGAGTATGATAAGAGATAAGGAATTATTTTGCCCTTTGAACTTGGCAAATAGTAAAATTCATCATTAAAAAAATACAATAGTGTTATTAATGAATACTGATACATGTATATAAAGCAGGATACTATTTGAATAATTTAGTATAGAAATATCAATTGTGGCGTCACTATCGTCATTGATAAATTTTATTTTAATCTTAAATGGTTATTTTACACAACATGCTAAAGCAACATTTAATATCAGCCACAGCCTGACGCAAAAGTATAGTTTACCAATATTAACATCTTTGCACAAGACATCTTGTAGCAAAATGTCGTTTTGGGAAAGTCGAATAGATTGAAGTGAATTTTCAATTACAAAAATCTAAAATTACAAGAATTGCCTGAAAACTTATATATAAATACCAATTAATATGTCACTCTATCGGTTATTTTTCCAGGTTTTGTTCAGTTTTACATGTAACAAGAAGTTTGAAGTCCTATAGCAAAAATGATAGACAAAATTGAATGATAGAAATTTTTACATCTAACATCCGAAGTTTTATATTTGATAAAATAATAAAACTTTTTTCATTTTGATTTCAATGGTTCCGAATAGTGAACATAGCATACCTCCACCAAAAGCATGTTAAGGGGGTGTGCAAGAAACTAGTACATGTATATTCATGTCAGAAACCCTCCCCTCCTAAAAAACGAAATTACATTTAAAGCAACTTGAGTTTTCAGAAAAGTAAAAAGAAAGTAATAAAAACACAATGATTTAAAACCAACTTGATTTTCAGAGCTGGTGTCTGATAATTTATAATACATGCTGAGTTACTCATAACCGAAATAAAATCTTATTCATAAGCAACAAAGAGTCTCTTGTTGAGACTTAGTAGCGACGATTCCGTGGTTATCTGAATGAGATTTTTTATCGTTCAATGCATAATAAACTTGTCTCATTTAACTTTTTAGGGTATATATACCTATTCGATTAATTTTGTATTTACGTTTGTCAGGATTTGGTGTTCATTTATTTGAATTTAAATTTACAGATGGCGAACATCTTCTCCTGTAATAAGTACACCGGCAGAAAGAAACAAGCAGACATATTTTGATAATATGGAATATGACGAACTTGAAAAAAGAAAAACAGTAGAATATTCTCAATCAAATCAAGCTTTTGAACCTCCAAGAAAAGATATCGACTTTACAGAACAAGATCCTTATCAAAAAGTAAGTTAACCTTTTTTATTATTTCAACTGCCAGGGGGTAAATAGTGGTCTGATGTAAAAAAAGGTTATTGCTAAGCTTTAGTAATATATAACAAACAAAAACATACACCGATGTATGAACTTTCAGCTATGGATTTTTACAAAACATGTAATAAGTGTCTAAAATATAGTTACAGACTTTATCATTTTCATCACTACGTTTTCTTTAACACGCATTTAAAAAAGAAAAAGAGGCGACACATAATGCAAAAAATCAAAAATATTTAAATTAAATTAAATGATGAAATGATACACTTTAGTATTTGAAAAACTGGAAGCTTTTTTTTTTAAAGAGAAGGCCACACCAAATGATTGTTTTATTCGTATAATTTTTCATGCAAAATAAGAAAGGCGATGTATATTTTCATGTTATTTATTTCAAAATGTCACATAGTCAAGATCACTTTATCTTTACGAGTGTTTGTTGGAGTGTGTGCATTTAGTTGAAGATTTCACGTTTGATAACAACAAGAAAAAGATAAAAAATAAAAACAACAAATGTATAGTAGATAAAAGTTTTGTTAAAATCTTTATAAGAAGAGCGAGTAGTTCCATAGAACAATGCTGAGAACTAAATGTACATAATTGTGAAACCATCAGAATAATCACAACTATTAAATATAACAGTTAGAGCTTAAATTTAGTAAAAACTGGAAAATATTCAAATGATAACAATGGGAGGCAACTCCACACTTTCTTAGTTGACTTTTCAAATTGCAAGAAAAGTTTTCTAAAGTATCATTTGTAAAAAAATATATTTCTAAAAGATATAATTATTTTTAATTGGAAAGTTGTTTAAAATATTTATTTAAAGACCTAGGAAACTTGTCATAAAGTCGAAGTCGAAGTCGATTCTATTTTGATTAGTTCTTGATATTAAGGTTTTAAAATTTTAGAATTTTTAGAATTTACACTACAGGCACTAAAATGTTGTAGAAAATGTTGTCATAGTAATCAAACTTAAACATAATTTTTTTTCATGTTGGGTTAAAAACTTAAAAAGAAATTCATTATGAATTTTGTCAAATTCTTCAAATCTATACTTTCATTAGCCTGATGTATAAGTTGAAGGTAAACACTTATGCACTGCTGTTATATATGTAATGTGATCTCTCGGTGCAATACAAATATATGTATACTGGTAAACATGCATTGTTGTTATTGTTAAGACAGTACTTGTATCGTATGTTATTGATACAAAAGAGAACCCTATCATATTATAAGTTTCGGGAACTTTTAATGAATTTTGTTAACATTTAAGTATGCATATTAAAAACGCCGTGTAAGTTCAATCTGACCCTTATAAAATTAATTGTTTCACTAGGCTAAGTGTTGTTATTTAACATAAAAAAGCTTTGGTTCATTAGGGAAATGTCAGAAGCATGTATATGCGACCTCGTTCCAAATCGTTTTCAGAACTAGGTAAAATTATTTTTTCTTCTTTATCTCGTTGATGTTGATGAGATTTCAATTTCAGTTCTTTCAAACATCTGATAGAAATCCTGTCTGTCATGATTTTCCAATGAAACATATAAGGTCACTTCAGTAATAATTTCATCTTAAAACTCAAAGATTAAGATTTAAGCTTTGTATCAATTTTGGAATAACATTTACAGATTATTCACATTCAAAACAAAGTGTGTAAACCTTTTCTTTTAAGTGGTTCAGATTTTTTGGAAGTTATGAAAATATCCAGCATTCTGTTTTGTTATTAAGCCTGTTGAGTTATGACTTATCAAAGATTTATTAACTCATTGCGTTGTCATGGATACCTAATTTGATTTTAGATTAGTGAAAATACAAAGGATATCTAAAATTTTGAGTAAGTATGGTATCTAAATTTCATGTCACACAAATTAAGTTTCGAAATTTATTCAAATTTTGTTTTACTGCACTTATAAATGACAAAGTTAACCGATTTTGTCCTTCTAAAAATAAGTTTGAAATTGTAAATTGGAATACTTTAACCAACTTTTAACCGTTTTATCCAAAACAAAGTTGCAAGTTAAGAATTGCTCAGTAATAAGATGGTGTGACATTAAGTTTATTTTGTATAGCCTTTTCCCAAGACTCATATCTTACATCATGCATCTTACCTTATGATTTAATTCTTTATCAACTTATTTTCTTTGCTACAAAAACAGTAATTTTTTTACATGAAGCAGTTAAGGGAAAGGGCTATACGAGGATTGCGTTTGAATGGTATTCTAGTGAAAGCAAGAATACAATATCAAATAAGTTCAATGATTTTTAAAACAACTTGAATTCTTCGGAAAAAGCATTATAGACATTTTGCTAACGGTATCGTGCTTCAAGCCTGTACATGAAGTATTCATGATTTAAAGCAGATTTAAAATGAATGTAAAATAAGTGTATTTCCTGCTTTTATACCTTGCATTAGTTTTCTTTTGTAAAGTTCTCACTGTTTCTTATAGTGTATATTAGTTACAGAAAATCCCTAAGTTGATTTATTATTTGGCTGTTGCTTCGTCAGAGGGATGTGGTGTATTAACATGATACAGTTCAATTTTTTCCATTCCAAAATGAAAATAAAGAGTTGCGCCATGAGCGCATGATACGTCCGTCGCTTTTTCAAAGAATAAAGTTCCATAACTCTTCAATGTCATATCAGAAATTTATAAAAAAAAACTAAAGGGAGGTTATTTTGATAGATATAAACCAGTCACCAAAGTTTCACGAAAACTGCTCAAAGAACTTTTGATTTATTGTCCGAAAACTGGAAAATCCCCCTTATTTAATGAATAAAACCCCATAACTCAGAAATGTAAAATCTAAAATTTATAAAAATCGAAAGGGATCTCACGTCAATAGATATGAACAATCTGGGAACAGTATATATAACTTGCTATTAAGGTCAATATATACGTGCCTGGAACAATTCACCAAAGTTTCATGAAAACTGATAAAAGCATTTTCGAGTAACTGTCCGAAAACTGGAAAATCTCCCTTTTTTAATGAATAAAACCCCATAACTCGGAAAAGTAAAATCCAAAATTTATAAAAATCGAAAGGGAGCTCATGTCAATTAATATAAACAATTCACCAAAGTTTCATGCAAATTGGTTAAAGAATTTTGGAGTTATTGTCCGACATGTTAACGACGGACGGACGGACAGACGGACGGACAACAGTATACCATAATAAGTCACGTAAACGGCGTATAATGATATAAAAAAATTGATGTTAGCTACAAGCTAGGTCAATATTATAATACGATTAAAACTTTCGAAATTACTTTTTTTCTACCGTTATGAAAGTCGATTATGATATTACTCACTCAAACATGTAAATAAATTATAATATTGCATTAAAAAGTCATTAAAAGCCACATAGTTATTGCTTTTTGCAGACTTGAAAAACAATTTTAATTTTGATACTTCAGATAGTTTGCTAAAAGTATAATATTCAGTTTCAAAACTAGAAATAATATTTTACTCTGTCAAAAACGTTTATTAAAAACACCTTATGATAATGTTGCTTCATAAAGCCACTGACCAGTGCGTTCCATTGCATGTGTTAGAAATTACAAGCTTGATAGTTATTGCTTTTGTGCAGACGTTTAACAGGTTTAATATTGATACTTAAGACATCTTCCTAAAATAAAAATACACTTTTCAACTTCGAAATTAAAAGTTAATGTTTTCGCTGTCAACAAAGTTTCTTGTAAACAACCTTTTATGACGTTGAACCACGGACTATGGCGTTAATTTGCTTTTTAGTACTTAATAGTTAATGCTATATGCAGACGTTGCTATTTCAATGAAGATACAAAAATATAAAAAAAATGTTAATTGATGAGGTCATGTTTCCAATAAAATGGGTGTTTGAAACATCAAATTAGCTTAGATATCTTATAATTTGGTATTATTCTACTTTTGAACATCTTTTATCATGTAAAAAATGTATTTAGACGTGCTGAAAAAGCTTTCGTATACAAATTAAAAGCGATAATATAATTTATCCCAGTCCAACATCAGTAGTATTAAATGCATATTAAAGTGCTCTACTAAGGAGGCGAAGGATACAAAGTCGAAAAAACACCATTGGCGAAATAAAATGACGTAAAGACAAACAAATGCCAAAATATCACACGGAAAACAAACTAAAGATTTAACAAATGAATACAACCTAAAACCGGGGGCAAATTCGGGTGCTTCAGAAGGGTAAGAAGTTCCTGCACCTCTGGTGCAACTAATTTTAAATGATGTGCACCTAGTCCATTAAACATCATTACCACGAGTCGGCTGATTTTGTTAGTTTGGCCCTCAAATAAAGAGAATCATAAGAAGACATCTGTTCCGTAAATGTTTACCTAATAATTTGATTCATAAAAAACTACAGTATTTTGTTATGGAATTTTGGGTCAGTACATATAACCGTATTCGCTCTTGTCAAACTATATGTTTTTATAGCGTTAATGTGTTATATCAAAGTTTCAGGATGTACCCTTTCATCCTTACTCATTTTGAATTTCTGCTGTCTTATACTTCTGACTTCTAATCTCTTCGCAAAATTGACGCTTTGGTGCCTGAAAATAGTTTAAAACGGGTTTTTTTTTTGGAAAGATTACATTATGACACTATATAGAAATCTTACATTTACGCAATTGTATTAGATAATATTACGATTATAATTATATAAGTGCTACATTGGTTACCCGTTCTTTATATATTAATCCTTTTTCCTATATCATTTTCAGCCTTATGCACAAGCAGGAGGAGCAAGGTCAGTGCATTAATTATAACTACATTCTTTCGGTAGTGTAATTGAAAAACAAATATCTTATTGACATATACAATGTATATATACAATATTCGTAAATAGGAAAATATCGAATATATTAGTACGAGCTTTAGAAACAGAGAGAAAAACGAGGCTATCCGACCTTTTCTTCTGATTCGTAGCGAGTACTAATACATTTTGCATTTTCTTACAATGTACGAATATTGTTTTTCTCCTGCAATTTAACATTTACGCTCAAACTTATAGTTTCATTTTTTTCATTTCTCAACCGTTCAATTTGTTTTCATAGAATCAACATGACATAAACCTTAACCCTACATTGAGCTGACTTTTTGACGTAAACAGTAATTTGAATATAACCGGTGGTTCACATTACAACAGAAGCGGGATACCAGGAGACTATAAAAAAAGTAAAATAACAAAAATACCGAGTTAATTCCGACGAAAATTCAAAACGGAAAGTCCCTAATCAAATGACAAAATCAAAAGCTCAAACACATCAAACGTTCATCGTTTCATGTTATCTGTCAACCTGTATTTGTATAGTAATTGCAGGATGAATATTTATAAACTTATCGAAGATACCAGGCTTATAGTTCGGTAAGCCAGACACGCGTTTCGTTTTCGTAAGAATCATCAGTGGCGCTCGATAATTTTTCGAATAATTGGAAGTTGCAAAGGGTCTAACAGGATACTCTATAATTCAAAAATCATTAAAGGATGCTAAACTTTATATGATTACAACAAACTAATTTAAACCCTTTTGAAGCGACTTACTGTTAGTGTGTATAAGATATTTGAAGTGGTGTTCGTTATTCCATACAGTAAATCTTCATTTCCAAGAAACATTGTTTCTTTATCTTCTTCTACATCATCGGTTTCACACTTTATGTCAATACGCAACCCCTTTAAACCGGCTTGACAGAATTCAATCAAAATGTACAGGTTCTTTTACATGAAATAAAGTTGTGCACCTATTATTATAATTTTTAACAATGATTTGGGGAATTTTTTATTCCAAAATATAGACTTTTGTGCGTATATCGTTTTGTTAAAACGCATAAAAAACGATTTTGATTCTCCCAATATTTAACATGCCATTGAGTGGTGAATATGTTATTTTAATTTATGATCCGACTGGTTTTCAGAATATCTTTTACCAAGATATGCACCTGGACATTTCTGCTTATATCATTTTGATAGGGAGAAACTATTTAAAAAGGACTTGGCAGAATTCAAACAAATTTACCAAAAAAAGGCTGACTCTTATAGAGGAAATGATGTTGTGCATCTGATAATCTCATGTTGATTTTAGTGATTTTTGGGGGTTTCAAACTCCCCAACATTGATTTAACCCTTACTTTGTATAACAAATTGTAAATCCGCGACACCTTGAAAAAAGTTTCTCCTTATAAGGACATCAAATTGTTCTTCGGCTTTTTTACTTTTTATATGAGTAGAAGTAAGGATTTTCCAATCCTTAATCTTCCCCTGTCCTGTTGATTTATAATGGAGACTACAGGCGACACACGGGTTTCTTGGAAGATTTCACATGTTTCGTTTAACTGTAGTTAACATCAACGAGCATTTAAGAGTATTCACGTCGAAATTGAAAATCACAAATTTCTAAATCTTTTTCAGACTACACGTGCATACATATTTATAGAAACAATGAACTAGTAAGGGGAACAACCACCAAGTTTAAAAGGTTCAAATCTTTTTAAAAAAAGTTGCAAAAAGGTACTATCGCCATATTGTGTTGGTTATTAAACCTTTTAAACTTGGTCAGTTCTTTTCTGTTTGTTTTGTATTTTATTTATATAACCAGCTACCATCTTTATTCTGTTGCATACTTGTACATAAATTTTGCATTAAATTTTTTTTAATTTTTTTATCAGTTTCAAGACGTCACCTTACGATGAACCTATACCAGATTTAAAAGCAATGTCAAATGAACCTAAACCAGACTATCCTGTTTATGATTGGGAAACAAAAGCAACTAAAGTTCTACCACCCGTAGTACCATCATCATATGGATCATCATCATGATACTGCTTATCCAATAACTAAAATGAGATTAAATTATCGTATCAAACTATCTGATAGACCAGGATAAGGGACATAACTCTTGACCATCACCGATGCGTTTGTGTAAACCATGTTTAAAGATATATTCTATGCTTTTTGGTAACACAGATTATTTTAATTCATAACAGAACCAAACTTGCAATATTGACTTCATCATTACTTTATTTCATTCTATTATCTATTTCAAGCAATAAAAAACATATAAAGCTTTATTCCAAATACTATTTTACTGATTTTAAGCTCAAATTGGACTAGTAGTAACATATAGGTTATGCAAAGGAAACTGCATATGGATATTACCAATGGCCAATATGATTTTTTTATTCTCAATGTCATAATTCTATTGGTTAATTTCTACTAGGAAAGCAGTGTGCTTACTAATAGTCATATATTTATCAGAGGTTGTTCATTTAATAAAAAATAAATTAGTCCAAACCTAAGACATAATTGAAAATATTGTCCCCCCCTTTTTCTTCAAATTGGTAAAGGGACATTTTTGGTAAACACCATACTTCTGTGGTACAACATAGATTATGAAGATCAATTTATATACAGTCTGTATCCCTCAGCTGGATAACTTGTTAAACTGGTTAAAAATTGCATGTGCCGTGAGATTTTTGAATTCATAAATGAGTATATACCAATTGCCTAAATTGTAAATGGCTACCATAAGAAAACCAATAAAACTTTGAAAATCATAGAATTATATGACCAAAAGCTATTGTTTTACCATAAACAAGTCATAATATACATGTGTTAATGATTTCAATCCCAAATAATGCAAAAATAAGAACTTGGAGTCAAGTTTTAACTGCATGCATGCTGTATGACCATAAAAGGCTAAAGTACCTTATTGTGTCAATTTAAGAGCTGAAATTTCCAATAAACAGAATTGTTCATCCAAAAAAGTTGATTAAACATGATAACTGACATCAAATAAGACTAATTTTCATTGGAATAGGTACAACTACTAAAATTGAATTTTTAAAGATTCTCTGTAATAGGAAGTACACCACTAATTCATGGCTCCATTGCTCTCTATGTTAAATTCCTCAATTTCAAGCAGGCACAGCTCTTTTGTTTTAAGTTCAAATAAAGTGACAATCAGTGCATTTCAAAGCAACACTTTATGGTGCCTTGTACTGAATAAATCAACATACCTTTAATGGCATATAAGAAAGAACTGGTTCCCGGAACTGTACCAAAACAGGTACTTCAGATCTGACAAACAGGCAAACTTTACCCTCATTTTAAAATTTCATGCAATTTGTTTTTTATTCAAAATTTTAAATCTAAAAGTGTTTTACAATGATCACCTGTCATTCATCTTTCATTTGATACCAAAATTACCTAAATGTTCTACATATTTTGAAAGTAACACCCATGCGTAGGAACTATTTTGTGTTAAATATGTACTACTTTCTGGTATGTGCTTTCTAGCCGGGTCCGAATTAGTGGTGTTACACCTTCGGGGTCACAAGAATGCAGAAAACATCAATAATGAAACTGACTTCTACAAACGCATTATTGATCTAAAGAGCTACATCCCTTAAGCGTGGTTTTCATCCTCCATTCCTTCTTCATATTGTATTTTTTTATTCATCATCATCACAGTAAATTAGAGTTAGTATTATATATATATATATATGTATATTGTACATACTTTGCAGATTTATATAATGCACAATGATATTATTGTTTGAGATGATGCCAATTTTGGTTCTACTTTATCACATTTTTCTCTGATTTCAGATTGTTAGAATCAAATTGGTTATCGGATATTGTATACTAATATATTTTATGTAGAATTTAGCATCATATTTAATTGCGGGTGTATAGTAGAAATGAAATTGTAGTTAAATTCAGTATTATATTATGTTCTTTCTTGAAAATAAAATAATAATATGGATATTCAAGAATGAATTAGAATATTTGCGTTCACTCGGTGAGATATATTATAGGATCCCAGACATCTTAGTTTTAGCTAACATCATAAAGACATCGAACTTCTATTTTATACAATTGAAAGGTTCATATTTAATGCAATATATCATTCATTTGTCATAGAAGGACAAGTTTCAGTTTCAACAACACAGACCTTATGAAACACAAGATGCGCCATAAATCGAGAAGATTACTTTTATTTGCCTTACAGTATATAATAATAAGATGTGGTATGATATCCAATGAGACAAATACGAGTCCAAATAACGCAGATTTAAGCAATTATAGATCACCGTACGCCCTTCAACAATGAGGAGCATAGAGCAATATCATTCTTGGGATTTTACCTTACATAACCATGGATTAAACTATGGACGTAAGAAAGACATATATACTTTAATAATGATTAGATTTATGATCCTGTCATTTATCAGCACTGGTTTCACAACTAGGAATTATTATTTATGTTCTACCTGTCGCAGCCTTGATCCCGTCCGGTTTTCCTTGATTGTGAATGCGATTTGTCATCGACCTTGTATTTGCTTGGAGTGCCACTAACATGGTGCCACTAATATGGAGCTGCATACCCTTCTGGAGCACCAGCGTTCAACCCCGGTTTTTGGTTGACTTCTTCGATTTTTTGTTTTCCGTTCTATGTTTATGGTATATTTGTTAGGTTTTCGTCTATTATTTTGTTTTTCTGTTGTCTGTTTTCCACCATTTATGGTTTTTGTTTGTCCCATTCGTTACTTCTCTCCTCTTTTCACATACCTTTTTTTATTCTATATATATTTTTGGTTTGACTTTAGAATATGTAGTCGTTGTACCATTTATTTAAGGGCGCCACTTTCAACATGAATCTCCAGAAAATCCCTATGCAGCATATGCTGGAAAAGGAAAATGATTCCAACTGGAAACATGACTACTGTCAACCAATTCTTAGCTTTAACTGTAGCATTGTTACCTGTTTGTGCATGGGTGGGACAGACTTGACAAGAACGACACACAAAGAAAACCAAAAAAACAATGCAAATACAAAAACAATACAAACATATAGAGATCATCATTACTATTATTCCTATCTTGGAAATATACATTCTCTTACTGTGGGTTGTGTAAGACAAAAGTAATTGAATTGCGACCAGCAAAACTAGATTGTGTCTAAGGGAGTTACTATTTGATTTTTATGGTGGGCGGGCTAGGATGAAATTTAAAAAAAAGGCAGGACAGGAGTTTTGAGTTAAAAAAAAAAGGCAGGATGAGCAACTTGGCCAAAAAAAGGCAGGATGACAATTTATGTAAAAAAAGTCAGGATAAACTATTAATAAAAGGCAGGACCGAATAGAGAAAAAAATAAAAAGGCCTGACAGAGATTACAACTAAAAGTAGAAAATACAGGACAAAATTTTTCATCCTAGCCCCCCCCCCCCCCCCCCCCCCATAAAAATCAAATGGTAGCTCCCTAATGTTAACGGTCTTCAACAATGTGACAACCGGGTCTGTACAATATACAACGCCCAAAATCGCCCAAGGTCGTTAACAACAGCTAAATACATGTAGCAAGTCAAATCTTTGGAGCGTTAATCAAAGGATGACTCGAAAATATTTCTTTTTAACAAATTCATGGTTCAATTAACAATGAAACAAACAACTTTGTGTATGATGAACACATTCTAAAGGTACTTGTATCGAAACTCATGAAGTGTCTGTGATTTCGAAAAACAAAACTAATACCTCCTTGTACTATTATTCGATATGCGGACAGGCAGCTTTTAATCGAGACGAGTTATATGCTCATGATGGGTCTTGCTCGGATGACTAGGCATAATTATACACAAACCCACAAAATTTATCACGGATTGTGTATAAGAAAGATAAAACAAAAATATTACAAGTAGAAGAAATTAATAAAGAGTTGTACAATATAATAAAATCAAAGTATTACTTTTCAATAATAACCAGTGCATATTATGTCTTATGAAAAAACTTTGACTTTATCCAGTTTGAATTGATTTTATTTCTTTTTGGTACATTTACGCAGTTTGGGTTCATCCGTTATTTTGTTATATTCCACATCTCTCAAAAAAGTAATGAGGCTCTGGATGGGTTTACATTCAAAAAGTTCAGAATAAAGAGCAAAATAATAAAGAATAGAGAAAAAGATGGCAAACTTTTAAAGTATAAAGAAATAAAGGACCCCCATCCTGCAGACTCCCAGTAATAAAAATATGAATATAAAAATATGATTTCTAATGAGACAATTATCCACTTAAGTTCGTATGAAGTGGATGTAAGCAATTATAGGCAACCGAACGGCCTTCATCAATGAAAAAAAACCTATATGAAAATATATATAAAAGGCCCCGGCATGAAAAAATAATATGGAACAATTCAATTGAGAAAACTAACGGCCCAATTTATAACAAAACCATTTACGAAAAACAAATATGACAGACATGAACCAACGACAACCACTGAAATACAGGCCCCTGATTTAGGACAGGCACATAAAGAATGTGGCGGGATTGTATGAAGGCGCCAACCCTCCCCTAACCTGGGACAGTGGTGTTACTGCTACATCAAAAGAACAAACTATAAAAATCAGTTGAATATATCGGTTCTTCAATTTTGTATTGATATTTCTGTGATCGTAGATGACAAAGTAGCTGTACTGTTATCGTAGTGCATCTACCTTTGTTCAGTATACCATTTATCCGTATTACTTGATGGGTACCGCATTCGGAGCGGTAATTGTTTGCCTTTTATAGTCTATATAGAAATTTAAAAAAAAATGTTATTTTTTATTAAATAAACTCAGACCCAGTAACTGCGCTACTACAAGAGCATCAATTATATATGATACATTATAGTTACAGATGACAGAACGAGTAGAGATTACCTATATAAAAGTATACAATTTCGAGATATTAAAACTTATTAGATTCTATGATGACAAAGTAACTGCATAATTTTTAAGGAAAAGTCTATAATTTTTCATATCGCTAAATTTCAAGCAAAATACTAGAATTTTAAGAGTAAGCTAATTAATTGCGAGTCATAATAACCATCACATAGTACATTTCTAAAAAAAATCTAAACAACACTTTATGAATTTCATGTGTCCGAAGCGCTTTTTTGTATAAGCCTTCACCAGGAACGCTTAAAGCCGAATATTTGAAAGCCAAAGATGTATAAAAACCGAAGAGTGGAAGAGTTATATGTCAAAAAAAAGAACCTAATAATAATAGCCAAATCCATCCTAGTTCTACTTTGCCTGAGGGACAATTTACTGCACATTATAGTTAAAATGTATATGACATTAACTATATTGCTAATAACAGACTACATAAATCAGAATTCGGATACACAAATATATGTTTAGATTTAGAAATATAAAATCATACATTCAGTTATTGTTTGTACAAAAGGTATTATTATAAACGTACGACGTCAGTATCATTGCGCACAACATGTTCTTCTAGACAATCCTAGAGGGTGCACACGATATGTTCGTCTATAAAATTCTAGAGGGTACAAACGACATGTTTTTCTAGACAATCCTAGAAGGTACACTCGACATGTTCTTCTATACACTCCTAGACGGTACAATCCATGAGGTATACAATTAGACATGTTCTTCGTGACAATCCTAGAGGGTACACTGGACACCAAAAGTTTGGAAGCAAAATGAATAAACATTTAAAAGGCACCAAAATCAAATAAAAAGGGCCTACACAGAACCCCCAATATCGACTAAAATCAGCATATTGGTTGAGGACCAGTTACCGTCACTAGGCATTTTTTGTAATAACGGATGCGTTGCATGAATTCGGCATACTGCTCTTATCTGCAGAAACATATTCTTGCTTCATTGTTAAAAACTTTGTTTTGTTTAATCCGATTAAGATAATGAAGTTCCGATTATTTTTGTTTTTATAACACGTTGTGGGAAAATACGCGTGCTGGGACATGACTGCATTACTTTATGGCGTCCTCGACTTTAGAAAACTTCCTGTTTTCAAATACATAATATATCAAAGCTTGCTTCAGAACATCAATTTCTATTGTAAGAAAAAGGACAGATTTGTAATTTGAAAATCATATTTTTGCTCTCCTTCAATACATTATATTTTGTTGATCTATAGTGACATAATTTATGACCAGTTCACACATTGCAAAAGGAAGAAAATAATTAGAATATACGGACTTAATGGTTATTTAGAAAATAACATTCTCGTCCAACTACAGAAAAGCATTATAGAATAAATACTCACATAAAGTGGAAATATCTATAATGATTTAGATCTAGTAAGTAGATTCTTAAATAATGGTAACTGGTCCTCATATTCATAAAATTTCACGGCAAAATCGGCACACTATAAAATACCAATTTCCGTAGTTCATACGATGATTTAAAGATTCAATGTGTGTTGTTTAAGCTAACTTTTAGAAACTCTCTTTATGTTAAAAGAATATTTTCAACAGGAGTTCCTGTAAAAAAACATTTGAGAAAAACTACGAGTTTCTGACGATAATTGGTACCTGACCAGTACATGTTTGGCGAAGAAATTTGCAACCTTACATTAAGTACAGTAACTGTTATAACAAAGATAATCTATGAAATTTATTTTACCATAGTTATTTTTTTTTAAAGAACATGATGAAAGACAGCAAGTCGTTGTTAGATATAAATTGTGGATATCAACTTAAGCAGTTCTAGTATGGCCTTTTTGTCGGTTTTAATGCTCTCAAACGTTAGCATTCCAAAACAAAATTTCAAGACCTTTCCTGATGAATGTTTTTTTTTCAAAAACATGTGCTGTTCGTTCGCATGAAAAACATTTTCATTTTTATATGAGATTATTCGTGCTCACCTCGAGTGCGGGAGATCGTGGGCTCGAACCCAGGCCGGGTCAAACCAAACACTTTAAAATTGTTATTTACTGTTTCCCCGTAAAGCACGCGGAATTAAGAA